AAAAAATGGATCCTATAAATGCGGCAACAGGAACAAAAACGCTACAAGAAAGTCGTTCCTATAACGCTTTTGATTGGATCTAGTTTTCTGGTAGAAAAGTTGTTTACAAATACGAGAAAAAAAACCTTACTAAAACCAATATATTCCTCGCTTCACTCAGAATCTAAAATTGTATTATCTTCGCGTGCGTATATACTGTGTAGTGTGTAGTAGGTATGTGATACGATGTGATAAAAATATAGACGAAAACAAGCTGCACTATATATTTTATTATATTATATAGGTATACCTATATAGGCCGTGTCTGCATGTGCAGCAGACGGGAAGAGCGAATACAGATGACGGAACGTGTTTTGGAAATCACATATTATGCGAGGTGAGTACACAAACAATATGATGTACAGGTATATGTGTATAGTATTATCGTATATTATTATATGAACAAGCACGTATTGTTTTTTTTTTCGTATATCCTCCCCCCCCCCAATTGTTCCGCCGAGCGTAAGTGAATTATCATCACGCATTGCTCCACACTCGCGGGTGGGACTATGCGATACAGATACTTTATTTTATTGAGTTTTATGTACAAAAGAAAAACAATAAAATTTACAGCTCTGCGCGTATATTATAATATTATACATATGTCTACTAGTGCCTTTATAGTATATTATTTTGTGAAAATAATAACACCGTCCGGAGATAATTAATACGGTGTGATGTTTCACTACGAATTATTTCATAACGTTTCCCATTCGACTGTACTGTGTATACATAAACAGTGTCCTGTTAACCTATCACCTGCTATCATCGGTGCAGTTAGATAATGCAAATTCCTTATAACGTCGAAGTGCAATTTTATCTACACAAGAAAAAATAAAACAATTTGACCATGGATAATAAAAGTATGATAGTCCATTATAGACCTACAATTACCAGTTTATATGGATATGACGTGAAACCTTATTCCACGGAAATTAATTGATAACTTTTTAAGTTTTACGAGTCAGCTATTTAAAATATTGTTATTGATACGATAAAAAGTTTGAATCAGCAGAACTATTTGAATCTGCAGAACATATACTGAACATAGTAAACATAGATGTTCTCGTCTAAGAAAATATAAATTTAATTGCGTGCACCTACGTCGAATTTTTGAAAATCGGTTCGAAATCAGTATTTTGATAAACCCCTCATCCCTCTAACAAAAAATCCGATCTGGATCCATATGTGTCCATCCGGAAGCTGAAATATTTCACGTGATCGTTTTGAACGAAATACTCGCTGTACCAGAGCCGGCGGAAGGAGAAGGGAGGGGGGGGGTTAAACTGAACATTCACCTAGGGCCTCGAGTTTTATGGGGCCTCTCATTTTTATATTAAATATTAATATTTTCATATAAGTTTTACTATGATGTATGAGGTTTTTTTTTATTGTACCTATCTAAATGAATTACTTATCTCGTAGAATAATTGTATTTATATACTGCCGGATGTATAGTTCATGAATTTCTAAGGGTATTGTCACACTACGACGGTTACGCCGCATGCCTCAACCGTCGCCGTCAAACCATCCAAACATATACTCGTGTCATACAATCACGGTTTTACCCGTAAAATAAGGATAATGAAATAGGTTTTAACACTGACTTTCCAGTCAGTACTCAGTCAGTATAGATTGTGTTCTTGTAGAAGTGTTCTGTTCAGCTTGTGTTGGAAATCAAAATATTTTATATTATTCTTATTATTTAAAGTATAATAATTATTATAAAATATTAAGGTAAATAATTTATTAATAAAGCGTAGTAAAATTGCATATTCATTTTAATGAAAACTTAATTTTTCATTTATGGATATTTCGGTGTCAAACATTCTTATTTTGGGATGTAGGTATACGAATAAATATGAGTATTACTTATATTTATTCTTATACCTGCATCATAGTATTATTAAAATACAAGTCTACGCTACGTTACGCTAACGTTTAAGTCCACTACTGGATGTCGTTGCTGTTGTAGGGTGACACAGCTGATAAAAACAATGTGTTTACATTTATTGACGGCGCGCGGGGTGGTAGCTCCATGAAACCACGACTCGCAACCAGTGGCGTACGCAATATTTTTCAAAGGCGGAGGGAAGGGGGTTTGAAAATTGATAATTAATCAGTTAATTCGTCACAAGTTTGAAAAATAAAGTAGTTGCATTCTTAGTTCTGACTGATAATAAACATAAAATACACACTAAAAAAATGAAAAAAATAACTTTAATATTTAGGTAACTATAAAAATGTTAGGTAGTAAAATTCAATTTTTAAGTTTGTAGAGTATTTAAAGGCCAGAGACCAACCAAAATTAGAGTTGTATGAATTGTGAGTTGCATTCCTTACCTTTTTTTTTTCTTCAAACAGAAGTTCGATATTTTTCTACCATAATGAATAATTAAATATTTACTTTAGTGTAAAAACCATGAGATACGTTTTATACGAAAACAATGACGAAAAACCTAAGTATGTAAAATATTATTACTTTGACACTTAAGAGAAATAAGTGAAAACAAAATTATCTACATAATTGTTTTTCAATAACTTAAGATTAATATAACTATAAAAAAAAAAAAAATATAGGTTATAGGTTATATTATTATTATCTACAACATCCGTAGACTAACTTAACGATGCGTTAATTGTTAGTAACATCAGTAAGTTCAATATTATAATCATAGCCTATTTTTGTAATATCTATGATTCATAGATATTATCTAAGGTTGTACGAGAGTCTGCGTATGCACAATAACACCAATCGCCAAAGTTGTCATAATAACAAAGCATTGTTTATCACGAATATGACCACAGTTAAACAAAAATAATAATATTATAAACTTAATAATATCTTATTCTGTGATAATATAGTAATATAGTAAGGTTATTAATAGACATCGGGGGTAAATTAAAAAATTTACTTACAAAAATAGTGTATTTTATGAAAAAAAAAACATCTTTATTTACTAATTATTATTACAGTTGAAACTTAAAAAATATAAAAAATTGGCCCCATTTTGTGATTGTTGGGAAATGGGCTTTGCAATTTTATTTCCCCATAAGGCTCTGTTTAATTTATTAAATGTAAATGTTTGCGTAATTTTCAATTTTTACAAAAACTTAAAAATTATTATTTAGAAAATAAATAATTGTACACTTTCTTTTTTTATTTCTAACTAATTTTTTTTAAACAAATGACACTGGTTCTTTTTACACCAAGCCACCAAGCCACAGATTTTATGTATCTATAACTATAAAATACGAAAATTGTTTTTACCTATATCCGTTATAGATTTTAAAACCATCCAACCGTTGTGCCCCAAACCGGTTTCATTAGAAAGGCAATAATGCGAAAAAGATTAAACCACTAAAACAATGCAATTAGGCACATTCGGTCCATTCATGAAGTCGATTTTCGACCTTTCCCATTCAAACATTTTCCCGAATTTTTATATTTCTTTATAGGTATAGATTGTTCACAACCTCATTAAAAGGTGGCGTTACTCGCAAATAAATTAAAAACATAATTAGTCACGGGCCACGCCGTGCAGGATCAGCTTTTAATCAGGATCACCTATAAATACGGTCAATGTGGTGGGCTCCAGCCTCTTAGTCCCCTCCCCTACGTACGCCACTGTTCACAATGGTTTCCGAGTTCGCCGGGCGGTCATCAACGGCGTAACCGTATAAATATAACCTAACCTAACCGTAACCGTATAAGACACTATATGTAAAAACATATGAATTATTGGCAAACAACGATCCTCAGCAGACGGCGTAACCCGTCGTAGTATAACGCCACCTTAAATTGTTTGCAACTAAATAATTAATAATTAGGTATATGTATAATAATATTGTCTTGATAAGAAATAATCTCGATCGTTGTTTATTAATTGTGGGTTTTGTCCAATCGATAAACACGCACGAATGAAACTGAATCACAAATACACGGTTTCATTTTCTTTTGAGCTGTCACGGTCATCACTTGTAAACATTTTGTAAGTACTATAGTGAATTATTATTTATTATATTATAAGGTTCGGTCCTTTATTTAATAGAACTCCTCTATTTTAGTATTCTCAGTTCGAACACTGATAATAATAGGTATAGATGTATAATATACAGTAAAACTTCTGTTATCGGTCACCTTTAAAAGACGGTCGATTCTACGTAACGGTAAATTTTTGGTCCCGACAAGTGTTATGCCTTTATAAGACACCTCTAAAGGACAGTCACCTCTAAATAGAGGCCATTATTTTCGGTGACCGTCATATGGAAGTTTTACTGTACACCTATGCAATTTTTTTTTTCGACATTTTATTGGTATCTACCGAAGTGGTTTTTACTAAACTGATGTAAAAAGTATCGAATAGTATTTTGGTGTTATTTTATGTATATTTAGAAGTGATGAACATTTGGTGGACATTTGATTGGTTTATATGAGATATGGTTAGGTTAGGTATTATAGTGATAACCAAAAAATAAACAAAAGGTCAACATCAACAGCAGAGATCGTTTTGATTTCGGAGTCTTTGTTAAAATGTTGAGGACTTTTAAAATTTCTTGTGAGTAAAACTTTTCATTAGTGATTCGTAAAAACTGTTTTCAGGGCTCTCTGGAATATTTTGTCTAGGGCCTAGGAAAATACCTAGTGCCGGCCCTGCGCTTTATAATAATATTATTACAGTGTGTAATAAATGCGTATTACGCAGAGATATCACGGCGGAGAGAAAATATATATACAATTTTTTTTTTTTGTTTTTCTTCCGAAGAGATTCGCGTCGAGTTTTATGCGTGTGTATATATTATAAAGCTGTTAAACGTCGGCGCGTAAAAATTATTGTTTTCTCCGCTCGGTCCACGATAATGCGGAAAAGGCACGCGCGGGCTAGTGAGTATTGATAAGGGCGGGCGGGAGCTCCGGTTCGGCTGCGACGCGGCGTCGGCGAAGGGTCGCGAGGGTGGAAAAGGACGTCCCGGAGGCGTGGACTCGTCTCGCGGCGTTCGCGATATTCGCGAGCGCATTATTCATAAACGCACACGGACGGACGGACCTCGCGATCGTGTCTTACGGACCGCTCAACGGATTCACGATAAAATATCGTGTGTAGTAATCGTAATCACATAATTATCGTGAAACATAAGTTTTGAGAGCTCCCTCATACCGGACAACACCGATGACTTCTGCAGGACGTCCGAAAATCGAAAAATAATATTATTTTATCAGACATACAATTACAAAAATCGAAAGCCCAGCACAAATATCACCGTGATCAGGTAAAATATTTTTATTATCATTACCTGAATAAGTGTGGTCGAATTTTCCCTAATTTAGATTCTGAGCGAAGCGAGGGATGCATTAGTTTTACAATGTTTATTTTGTATTTTGTATAATTTTTTATGCTATGTACCAAACTACTACCAGAAATCTTGATCCGATATATCAAGTGTAGCATTTTTTTCTGAAATGCAAATTTAACTAGTTGTTACGAGGTCATTTTTTGATTTTCCAAACGGTTTTCATAATAATTTTGAAAAATTGGGAAAATGGGGAAATTTACGAAAATAATGTTTTTATTATTTTTAATTTTGTTTTTTTGTTGTGATTTATTTGGAAATCTTTGTAGAGACTTGAAATTGAAACAAAATACATATATATACCTTTTCTAAACGTGATCAAATTTTTAAAAATTTGAACCATTTTTGAGCTATTTATAGAAATTCTAATTTTGGGAGATTTGTATGTAATTTTTATTTGATAGGTATACTCTATGGATAAAATTGTTAAACAGTTATGCTTGTAAATTTAACAAGACGTCCATTATAAGTTATACTTTGTGGTTGAAAAAAAAAGTTTGAGTGTGATGTAGATTTTTTTTTAGATTTTTAATATCAAATTTTGACGAAAACACGTATAACCGAACTGGTCCAGAATCTTTTTTCGTTAACAATTATTAATCGTTGCGTGCAGATATACATTAAATTTCACCTATAACCCACCTATTGTGCATAGTTTGTCCGTTTTGTGAATATTATTCCTACTAGTTTTGAATACTTCTCCCGAACCATATAAATGAGCTCAGACTGAGAAAGTAGAGTCATTTAGTACTAAGCGAATTAGTGATAATAAAACTTCAATCAAATTCCAATGTGAATTTCACCGTACTATTGCGTAGGGAAGTGTTTTTTTTTTTTTTAACTTTGTGCAGACTCCTCGATTAACGGTAAGGGAATGGAATTTTCTATGTATGCATAGTGAAGTATCAATAACGTGCCTTTCAACTTTTAACCACCTCTCTAACCATCTTTATACTCAAATTTCATGGTTTCATATGAAATACCGGATTTCAAATACCTCCTCAGTTTAAAATATAAAACAACTCTGGCATGCAACTATAACTATTTTTTATCAATAACAAAAAAATATTGTAACGGCAACAAGTCGTTTCGGGAAAAATTCGACTTTATTGATGGAGATCTACTGCTCACGGGAGTTGTTTTAAAATAAAAGTTGTAATATTATATTGTTTTATAAATCAAGTATTTCCTAATATGATAGCGATCCCTTATTGAATTCTGAGGGTAGTGATGTGTTCACTCGGTTCAGTTAGTAAATAACTATCTATAATTTTGACACCGTATACTTTAGAAGATTTTAAAAGGCACATTTTTCGTCGGGTAGTATTTTATTTGAAAGGTTTTTCTGGATTTTCGATATTTTTTTCTCAAATACCTCAAAGACACAACGCAGTGTTTAACGAAATGTACATATGTATGTGTTATAAACGCCCAGAGAAATAGTGAACATTAATATCAACAGTATCTTGAAGCGAAATTGATAAATTTAAAATTATTTGTGAGGGCTCATACTTAAACTTTGGACTGTTTGGCTTTTATATTTGGGCAAAAATATATTGATTTACCGGCGATGTGCGCGATTTTTTTTTATACAAAATGTCTAGTAACACGATTTCAACCAGAAGACTCGCTCCAACAACAAGAACGGTTTTTGGTAAAAGTGGCTGTTTGAGGTACTTTGGGCATGTCATTCTTCGATATCTTTTGTTTTTTTCTTAATTATAGAAAATCGAGAAAAACCGCTAGGAAACGGATTTTCGTCAAAATCGATTATTTTTTTTTTTTTTGTTATTAGGTGAGAAATAAATATAATACTATTTTTTAACGAATACGTTATTGATTTTTTGACACGTCATGCATTGTATAATTTCTCAAATATATTTACTCTTTTATTCATAATTGTTTAAGCAGTTCGACATTCTTTTAAATTAAAGAACGAATATCATTTTCTATGGAAAATACAATTGATATTTTGGTCTGGGACCGAAATGACAGAAAATTGAAAGAAAAATCCACCAATACGTGTTCGTGGTATCTATAACGTGGAGAAATCAAACCATTTTTTTCCCTCTCAAACTTTTGATCGTGGGATTAGAATACGTATATAATTTTATTGGTGAAATCATAATCTGTAAGTATACAGATTTAAATCGATCGTTTATATAGAGGTATAACATAATAATTGATTTGAGTGTGAAACTGAAAATAAGCGATAGATTTCGTACATTATACTGAGTAGAATTTGCTTAAATCGCTCTTCCAGTCGTTTATTCCCTTACAGGATTAAATGAGAAGCACATCGCACGCGGGTAGAGTTTCGTGGGGTTACATTAATATACAATAAACGAAATTATCGTCATCGCTTTTCTTCAATACTAAAGCTTTACGAACAACTGTATATGGACGATTTATTAATTCCCGATGTAAATTTACAAATTAATACACGAATACCTTATAGTATACAATAGGTATTTATTTTTTTAAATTTTGAGCGAAGTAAGGAATGTAATGGTTTTACAACGATATCATTATTTTTTTTATAGTGTGTAAAAAATGTCTACTAGAAAATGTGCTCTAATTTTGAAGTGTAGAAAATTTTCTGAAAGGAAATTTGAGGAGGGTTATTTTTGTTTTTCTTAGAAGTTTGCATAATAATTGAAAAAAAAACTGGGGAAAAAAGGGGAAATTTACGAAAATAAAATTTATCTAGACATAGTCAAAATTTTAAAACATTTGAGCCATTTTTGAGCTAATTATAGACATTATTCCCTAGTTTTTTACGAAATTTGTATTCAGTAGGTACTTTGTGGATAGCGTTAGACAAACAGAAATGCTTTAAAATTTAACAGGAGGTTCATTATAAGTTGTACTAAATGGTCAAAAGGAAAAGTTGAGTTTAATTTAGGTATTTTTTTTTTTTTTTTTTGTGAGAATTTATTAATAACAAATTTTAACGAAACTAGCAAATATTATGGCTTTTTAAAACCTGTATAACCGAACTCCACTCAGAATCGTTTTAGGTTAGAAATTAATAATACATTTGTACAGATATACATTAAATTTCTCTCTAAATCCTATCTTCTCAACTTCTAACTTACAACAATTTTTTGTTGTAGGGACCATAGGTCTTTTTTTGTTACGAAACAATAACAATGAATTTAGTATGAATCTACCTACCCTACAACAAATTTCCGATAGAGTTAATTATTAATTAAAATCTATACCAAAACCATAATGTGGTACTTACCTGATGATATTTTTTTTATGTTTAATGTCATTGAAGACTAAATAATGTAATGTATACTATTTAATTTAACTGTTTTAGGATACCTAGTTTAATTATCTTACAATAAATAATAAATGAAATATAAATTATTATATAATAATAATTAGTGAAAAATCAATATTATATTTCAATATACAAACTTCACATGCATGCAGTTTCTACTCTCTACCTATTACAAACTGTAGCTGGGGAGTGGATCAGAAATAGATAATTTTAAATAAGCGGAATCCGCTGTCAAATCTTTACTTATAAAAACCAAATTAATATAAAGAAAAGTTATAAAGGTTGCCCGTGCAACCCAAAAATTTATATTTTTGTTTCGTGTAAGGGAAACAAGAAATGAATTAGGAAAAATACAACATTTTTTTTTGCATATTTTGTACTTTGAGAGGTTGATCAAGAATAGTAGTTTGAAAATTATTTAAAAACAATTATTAACTATCAGCCATCAAATCCTAAAAAATGTCGCTACATCAGATAAAATTATGCTACAACTTACATACGTTTATACCCATACATAACTTACAATAATAAACAAGTAGTAATGAATAGAATAAATTAAAATTTATATTCATGTCGGTTAATTATTACAATATTTTACAATAATACAAATTATATTCATTACACACACATCAGCGTAGTTCGTTTCTCAAGATGTGATGCAAATGATTAGATGATTTTCGATCCGTCCAAATATTTATCCTTTGGTCTTAGGGAAATATTCGTAATATTCCGAAATCTGGTAATTTATCCAAAGTTCGATTCTAATGAATCCATACCTTTTTAGTTCTGCCCATCCATCTTTGTTTTAAACGGCCAAAAGCCGTTTTTCCTTTTGAATGTTTTGCAATTATTATTAGTTATTGTAATATATAAAACAAAAATCAAAAGTTTATCGTTAAAGTTTAGATACCTAATTTTTGTTTTAAAAACCGTGTCAATGCATTGCATATAAAAGCAATCTCATATTATAAAGTCTGTATACAAGCTCATAGAAACTGTATGATCATTTTTCGTCAAGCAAAATCCGAAAACTTCTTTTATACAATAAAGTTTCTATACGTATTACCTCACATTGTATATAAAGTATCGTATTTTAATACCCCCAGACAATATGACAATATTATTATTATCTGCTCGGGTAGCTTAAATTATTCAAAATTCCGTTAGTCTACACCGATCATCAATATTAATAAATTATTTTTATTATTGTATTTTTTATTTTTACCCTCGTGATATTCGTAAAATGACGTCATTAATCTCCGCCGACTTCTACTCCCGTTGAGGGACATCCGTCCAATTTATGTAAATTATACAGCCGGTGCATTTTTGAAACCTTGCCGCCCGTCCTCTCATTGTCGGATGATGAGAAAAGGGAAAAAAATGTTTTTCTCACTATTGTAATGAAGGTGTCTGGTTAAAAAACAGAACGTGGAAATATCGTCTTAATTTATTCCAAAGAGATTTTTTTTTTCATTTTTCACTTTACATTTTTCACGCACTAAAGCACTCAGATAATACGATTTTTCTTTTATATCGAGATATTGAAATTAAAATACGTCAACAGACGGATAATATTTCCTCCTCGCTAAAGCACACATTTTGTTTAATAATAAAAATAAAAAAAAACACAAAGATCATTTACGGTGGTTTGAAGTCCCATCAGCTCTCGTACGCTTTTTGCATCGCATTGTTTTAAATAATAATTGAAAAACACAAGACCATTTAAAAGATAGTATGGTTTTAATGATAAAAACAAAAAAAAATTTATTTTCATTTTAACAATTCAAAAATTATCGGATTCATCGTACACGATTCACATTGAGCTTAAAATAATAAGTAGGATTTTTAAACTTTAAGTATTCTGTTGAATATGGTTTACAACTATTATATATTCATTATATTATAATACCGTGCATTGTACGAGTCATTATTATGCGCTTTGTATAAGTACTGTACTATACTTCCTTTTCAAATATTTTTTTCTAAACGATAAAAATAATGGCCGTTATAACATGTACTTTACAACAGATACATTATTATAATGTCTTTGCGGGAGAAACTGCAGCATATATTTATACCTTAAGTATTTGTATAATTCAGCCCGCAGCAATTAAAGAACAAACAAATAATAATACTTTGATGAATTTATTAACTAGACACCATATATAATAAATTCGTATATATTTTAATAATACCATGGATGTGGTTTATGTTGCATAAACTATAACTTACTAATAAATATGATATAATATTATAACTATATAATTATGAAAATTGAAAAGTGCAAATTATCAACAGAGTCACCTATAGAATAACCAGCGTCACCTTTTTTTTCTATCTATAAATTACTCTTCTACCGAAAATATTGCTTCGATCTTAAAGTATTGCATATTTTCTATAATATTGTCTATAGCTGGTTAATTAAAGCTGTATTTTCATTCTAGTTTTCTTAATACGTAATTGAGAAAAACCAAGAAAAACCTAGGAAAACAGGAAAATTTACACAATTTCTTGTAATTAGATATTGCAGAAACTTGACATTTTCACAGTATCTACTCTTATAGTAGAATAATATAAGCCTTGACCTTCTAAACGTGATCAAAATGTAAAAACATTTAGGATTGTATAACATTTTTAAGTAACTAGTTGAAATTTTTACGTTTTAATAATTATTAATAACTAAAATGATAATTGATAATACATTGTGTGTCCGTTGGCCTAATAACTATATTAACCAAATATATATATAAATTTTAATCAGTTCACTAATCTCCATAATACAGATTTTATTCGTCAGAAATAAACATTATAATTAATAATAATTGTTTATAATTTATATCGGGTATCTTTTTTTTAATGGAAAAAGTTTCCTGCACAATCACGCATTTTGTCAATTTTTAATTTGTGAAAAACAGTAAAAGACGCACACGTTGAAGTACAAAACACGTTTAACATATAATACCTGCACTACTATATGGATAACATTTATAATTTTTGAAACTTTTTTTTAATATATAAAAGAGTGATTTGTTTTTGGTTTTTCTGTGCGATATTTTGTTTATTAACATTTTTTTTTTTTAACTGTTTAGTCGAAAAAGTACGTTTTTAAAGTTGAATGAATACGCCCGTAATTACAAATATATAAATTCATTTGTTTATAGAAATATAACATGTTTAACTTGAATACATTTTTTACATTAATATTATTTATCGTGCAATATTACCCATCTCGAATTTACACTAGGCCAATTCGGATATAAAATAATAATGAAAAAATTATTTAAAATAAATAGTACGTAACTTATACATCTATATGCATTATGCATGTATATTATGTGTATACATATAAAGGTTGCATGTATGTAAATAATACATGTATGTATTTAAATTGAATTGTTCGGAACAAACTTTTGCAATATTGAATGTGTATATTATTGATGTATATATTTTAACACAATTTAATCAATGAAATTATATCAGTGAACTCACAGTAACTCGAAGCGGGATGTAACGTAATATTCGAGTTTACAAGATTAATTTCAATAATTATAAATATTGCTACATATTTTGTTGCTGTTTTTTTTTCCATGTTTGGAGTTTGAGTTGTCGCAAATTATATTATTATCAATTACTTATATGATTAGATATAGTTAATAGTTATATTAACAGTACTCGTTTCAAAAATATATATGGCAATAATATTTAGATACTAATCTAAATAACTGTTATATGATATAACTTAGGTGTAAAAGAAAAATATTGATTTTTCAACGTGACCAATATTTCATTTATAAAGTTATAAAACTGTAATAATCGTGTTAAGTAAAACTTTTCTTTTGTTCGTTAAAACTGCGATATATCTTATTAAATTCCCACTTAAATAATTCTAATTATTTGTTTTTATTTAAAGAAATTTAAATTTTAACTGTATCATTACTATTGTTTAAGATATTCTAGATTTTCAGTGTAGCGAGCAAAATTATTATTACGAGTTTTACAATACATAATTTTTTTTTTTATGAAACAACTTTTTTTTAGAAAAGAAAATGAAGGATATTCTTGGTTATTTCCTATTCCCCTACCACCCACCTAAATTTCCAAATTGGATATCGAAAAATTCTAAAAAATTGAAAATAATAATTACAGCAAGTATTAACAGATTTTCATAATTCTGAGGTTTATTATTAATCGTTTTACGATTATTTTATTTGTTATCAATACTTATATTACGAAATATTAATCAATTGAAATAATTAAATAAATGTTTTTTTTTTTTTTTACTATAGTAATTATAATAAAATAAATAGCCTGTGTGCCTACGTTTAATAGGTACACAAAATAAAATTTAAGCGATGAAATTCTGTGTATACATGAGTTATTTGAATTTATATTTTTATGCATAATATATGTAACAATACCACTCATTTTGTTTGCAATTTAATAACCGCCGTCGTCGTCTGCAGTGATGTATCGGTGCGAAAGGGAGCGACAAATTGAAACAGATTCGTATCCATGGAAATCGTCTACTTGACAAAGCAAAAAATAAAAAAAAACAAGAGAAAAGAAATAAGAGAGGAAAGAAAGGATAGTGTTTTCTCAGGTCCCCAGCGTTTTAATTAGTTTGTCGAAGAGGTAGGGGGCATTAAACAACCGTCTTGTAATTAAATCGGCAGTGGTGCACGATACGAATCTCAAAGAGTATTAAAGTTTCGGTCCCTTTCAAAGTAATTAGCATCTGTGGAAAGAGGCAGGTGGAAAGGGGTGTAAGTTGCAAATCAACAAAGTTTTCAATTCCACCGAGTTCTATTTGACATTAATTCAAACCATCTTGTTCAGAAAGGATTTTAATTTAGTCTTGCTTATTTTTATTGTCTCTTATAAGGTATATTATAGAGTTATTGTCTCAATTTTTGACGCTGACTGAGCGCGTCGAACGCGTATTTCATTTAGGACACTCATAGCTATAGACATTTGTGTTCGTATTTAAATTAATAATTAAGTATATCGATTGTGTCACTTAAATATAATGCGTGGCGTGAAATTTTCCGATTTATCGATTGGCGGATTTAGGTCATTCGTATTTCAACGTAATTATTGGCATTAAATATAAAATTTGTACGGACATTTATTGCGTATCTATTCTCCTAATATAGTTATACATAATTGTAACAGGTATTGTATACAATCTAGGATTTATTTGATATCATATTTCATAAATTCAACTAATTTATTAACTAATTAACTTATATTCACAATAACTTGTTATAAAAATGTCACAATTTTGATGGCCACTGTGTAGGTACTTAAATGGTTCACAGACAAGCGAACTACTAAACATGGTCTACTCACAAAATGTCGCCAAAATATGTATTCATTTTTAAAACTAAACACTAAAATATTAGACGACAATTAATATAGTAAACATTTTTTTAAAATAGACGTATTCAAAAATAAGCATAATTCTTGCTGACTACAAGTCCTAAAACCAACTAAATAACGGCGTTCATCGTTTTCAAATAATAATCACGATTAAATAAATATTAGGTACTCACTATATTGCTGTGTATATAATGTACAATCCAAGTTGATTAGTGGAGATTTGCATCCGACCATTATACAATTTATGTAATAATTTATGACTAGGATATTATACATTATGTTTAAATAATATTTTATTTCGAATTTTATCGTTTTAATTGCAAATTGCATAAACTTTATTAAAAAATAAAATAAAAACCGCAAAGCTAAACTTCACCATCAGGTAGAATAAAATATTATACGAGTATGATTATACTAACTAATTTAAAAACTAAAAAGTACCGACTCGGAGTGGTAACATGTCATATGATAAATATTCATGTCAAACATTTTGTGCGTTGGAAGTTTTACTGCCGATGTCAATAATTATTGAAAAAACACCGAATGAAAGTGTACCTCTAATGGAATAATAATATTCGTTTATCTTTCATGACTCATACAATTTCATAATATTGACTTTAATATATGATAAAATATGACCTTTTATTTGAAATAATTATTCACCGACCAGCAGCAGAGAAGTCTAGGGTGTTAAATATTTACTATCTAATTATTATTTTTTTAAAAAAAAAGAACAAAACCTAATTCAAATATTTGTTAATAAATAAACGAATTAGTAAGTATAATGCGTACACTACATGCGTTCAGTTTTTTTATTATTTTTTTTTTAAATCTGAACGAAGTGAGGAATATATTGGTTTTACTGTAATATACTTTTTTTTTGTACCAGTAAATATCGTTTCGACTAAAAACTTTCTCGCAACATTTCTAATCTAGTTGGTGCATTAGGAATGTCACGTTTTGATTTTCCTTGTAGTTTTCTTAATAAATAAGAAAACCTGGCAATTTGTTGCCTAATTGTTGTTGGGTTACTTTGGCAACAAGGAAAAAGTTACAAAATTGTTCAGAATCATTTTTCGTTAGCAATGGTTTATCGTTGCGTACAGTGACACACCCATTAGCAGTATGGGCCTTTTTTTAGTGGGGATTTTAATAAATTATTTCATAACATAGGTACGCGTTATATATATTACTATGGGCCATCGAGGTTTTGCGGTCAGCTCTATTATCAGAAAGGCACTTTGCCTAATTCGAAAACCACACGGGGTTCAATAAGATGGCATTATTATTTCTGACCAACAAACAACTCTCAACATCGTAGGGTGCCGATGCCTTTTGTTTGCATCGTCGGGATATAGAATCTTTTGTTCCTCCGGACTCTCTAATACGCACCACTATTCGGCAGTTTGCCATTCCCCGATGATTTTCTCTCGTACATTGTTTGTTTATGTTTTTTTTCATCGGCATATTTACATTATAAAAATCGAAATTACAATAGTATATACGAGCGTAATATATGATGTATAGGTTATAATTATACTAAACGAAAATTAAATATATTATTTAATTTAACTAATGAGTTTATAAATAAATGTATCAGGTACCCATAGATACATAAATTAACCAATTCGATATACTATAGTATAACTTACTGTCCTTATACCTAGTGTTTTAAAATTGTATGGCACGCACATTTTAAAATACTTGTTTTATAATCATTTTTTAAATTAACTACAGGGATAATACCTAATATTTCACTGATTATAATATTTTTTTAAAGGATTGTTTGCATTAGGACACACATTGAGGTACATACAATTTTAATACACGCTTTTGAACTGTGTCTGTATGTATGTGTTTCTTTGGTTCAAAAATGAAAGAGGTATGAATTTTTCGATACAGATGTAAATCTTTGGTGACATTTTTCAGATGTATTTCAAAATTTAAATTCACATACGTATCCTCTGAATAGATAACACTAAACGTTAAATATTAGTACCATTTAAGTAATAATTATGACATTATTTTTACAATTAATATGAAAACATTTTTAGGTATATTTTCTGAATATCGAGTATATCCTCTGTTTTTTCCAATTTGTTGAGAAAACTCTTAAGGAAAATCGAAAAATTATCTCCCTAAAGTACCACTCTAAGAAAATTTCCTTTCAGAAAAAGATCTACATCGTAAACATCAGAGTAAGTTTTCTGGTAGAAAAAGTGTTCACATAAAAAAAAATATACATCTTTGTAAAATCATTACATTCTTCACTATACTCAGAATCTAAAATGTACTATCTATATTTTTTTTTATTTTTTTAATACAGTTGAAATACACCCAGAATATATTCCAATTTTTAATGATTGTAAATGTGAAAAGCATGCATTATGAATGGAAATGTATTAGTTTGTTCATTCCAAGATTGTGAATGGGAATATATTATATTTTAAAAGAAATTTTCCAAATATTGAATATTATACAGGGTCATTCAAATTGTTTGATACAGTCAAATTTTCCGAGAAATATTTATTTCTTCTTCTTTAAAAAAAAAAAAAATAACGAAACATTTTTTTGAATCATATATTCTGAAATGTTACATATAGTACTTATTTTTTCGGTCCTTATTTTTAGGGATAAAACGAGTACCTATTTTTTATTTTCAAATGACAACCTATATTCAAATTCTATAAATAGATGAAGCATTAGTTAAAATACATTTTTATTGAAATTATCGATTTCCGTCAACCTGTTTACGAGATATTTTTTAAGTTTAAGTAGGGGGAAAATATAGTAAATCATTTGAGTAGCGGCACGCCGCGTGACATTCGGATAGTATTCTCGGCCTACCCAAGTTTAAAAATGGAATATCTCGTAAACGAGTTGACAGAAATCAAAAATGTGAACACCAAAATGAATATAAACTAATACTCCATCTATTTGGGAATTTTTTAATATAGGTTTTCATTTGAAAATTAAAACTAGGTAGTCGTTTCAACCCACAAAATAAGAACAATGTAACATTTTGGAATAAATAATTTCAAATAATTTTTAGTCATTTTTTTTTTTTTTTCTAAAGTATTTATTTTTTCAAATGGCCACGTATACTGCAAACAATATATAATATGAATCATATTTTATTATATTTTTTTTTTTGGGCAGAGGGGATATTTGTCATGTCTGTTTTATATAAGTATATGGTGTTAGGTAGGTTAATAGATACTCCGAGCACAAGCTCCAGAGTATCTATTATTTTTGTTTTCTCGGAATGAACGATTATCATTTTAATCACAGTGTAATACCTACAACTATACAGTGTATATAGTCTAAATAAGGAGACTATAACCGGCGGTGGTGTATGCAAAGGGATGATTATTCCCCTAAATGACAAACGTACATAGCCGCAGGAAACACGAATGTCAAACTACACCACACACATATTATTATTATTATTATTATATAGCGATTGTACTGCAGTGTGTGAGTGTAAGTGTGGTATACAATGGAAATGTGAAATGTAGAGGGGATTTGACGCTGTGTAGTGCAAATTGGGTTCGAATTTCCCATTTGCTCGCGATAATTGAATTATTCCCATCGCAGATGAGAATATTATTTCGCATTGTCTGTCCGGTTGTCAACTGTGCATAATACGCATTATCAGGGTCCGACCGACGCGGCACGGTCCCTGTCACGTCTTTTGTTTCCGGTGTTCTCGGTTTGAATTTTTTATTTATTATTATTTTTTTTTTTTATAATAAAGTATAATATACCTATACCTACTGGTTAACAGAAAAACTTGAAACGATATTAATTCCATATAATGATATTATATGTATAATATTGTAACGAACAATAATTTGAGAATAGTAGTTGCAGTCTATTATACGAATATATATTTTTGGTCCCAGGGCAGAAGGGTTTAACTCGATTTTGTGTAGTTTTCAATACAAGCAAATTAAATTTTGAAACTTGCTAAATGACATAAATAATAGCATTATTGCCTAATAGCCTAATCTAAACATGACGATTGTGTCCTAAATATCTTTTCAAACAAAAAATACATTATAGTCATTAAATATATTTAAAGAAACAAAGTAATAAGACAAAGCTATCTTTAAAAAATTACTCAAGCCCTACATCCTTGAGATTAAAGATATATAATATATTAGTTATAACAGTATTATAATATATATATATTATATAGCAATGATGGTTTTTGACTTGACAAATAAAGATGGACACTGTTCACTTGAAAAACAATACGTTAAAAAAAAATAGGTTAATTTTTTTATTCGAACATTTTGCTCGATAATAAAATAATGACTTATACTGCAGTGCTTGGAAAAAATTAATAGTGAGACGTAAAAATGTACCTACCTTAAGATTAAATTATCTTTATATTCATGTAATATGTTCGGGGCTGGAAATTGTCCCCCCCCCTATTACCATAGGAGGAGTAAAACTCCTTCTAACTTGAAAATGTAGACTATTGAGTCAGCAACTCAATAACGATAATATAATTTTAAATTCAACTAAATTAATATATTTATAGGTTTTTATTTTTTTTGTGTTTTCTATAAAATATTAAAATTTATATACACGAATTTATACTTAATATATATAATAATAAAATATTATAAAACCAGTATTATTATTATTATTACATCAGTATGTTGCTGCAGGCTTCGCTCAGAATCTAAAATTAAATCGAATAAAACATAAAAAACATTTTAAATTGGGCATATGATTTCGATTTGCTACATTATATTTATTGTTATTATACTTCATTTTATGTACGAGTATACCTACATATAACTGTAAATTATAGTTGTCATAAATGCGTGAAAATTCGATGTAATTGTGTTGGGTTATTATTATTATTATTATTACATTATTTTGTCAAGTCCGTAATACAATAGGAGGGTAGAGGGGAGGGGGGTGAGAGCTGACCGTTACGAGTATATAGTGCGTATAGGTAGTGAATTCAAAACGCAAGTCCATTCGATGTGATTGCGTGTTTTTTGCTTTTGTGCGCGTAAAGGGTATGAACGCACAAAATGGTAGCATGAGCATATATTTTATAATAATATTATTGTCGAGGGCGATGATGACTAATGAGTTCTGGGGTTATAGTTAACTAGACGTGCATATATTATTTTCCGCTGCAGTGTACCAATTATATATTATTTTCGGACGCCATGAGACCGCGTGCAAATCGAATTTTACATCACTCTACGTCCAATTATTGTAATTCGAAACTTTAACGCATATAAATCTCGTGGCGTTGTCAGAGTGTAAAAAAAATATACATACATGTATAATAATATTACCGCGATTCGGTACAATATTATTGCCATAGACATAAAATCATTAATCATTACTATAATATTATGATTCGATATGACTGCTAATACTGCACGGATAATAATAATTGACCGAACTGATATTCTGACAGTGTTTTTGTGTGTATAACAGTATTACAGTATATGAAATTACTCCGAGTTAACAAGATAGAAATAAATCCCACGTAAACAATATCAACTGAAATTAAAAACATAATATCATATAATTTTACTAAAAAATATACTAAGCATATTATATCAATTTTAAAGAGGATAATACAGTAACATTTTGCCGTCTCTGTCTTTTTAACGGGCAGTATGGCAAAACAATGTTTTTTCAAAATCCCTATGTGGAGGTTGCCGGTTGTAATCAGGTTAGGTTAATCAGTTCCAGAATTATCTAGAACGGCAAAATCAAGAACTTAAAACGTAAACAAAATATTTGAACAATTTTTACTTTTAAAATTTAATTGGGAAAATCGTTTTTCTTCTAGGTTTTGTTCGTCAAATACTATCATTACATGTAATACCATTCCAGATAATGCAATAATCTGGCTGCAATAGATTTAACAAAAATGGGTTTACCAGTACTTAAAATGTTTAGCAGTACTATTTTTATAGTTTTTAGTTTTAGATTCGGACCGTAACGAGGAATATATTGATTTTACAATAATGTTTATTTTTTTATTTATTTATCATTTTGATCTGCGAACAATTTTTCTACCAAAAATCTTGCTTTGATTTTCAAGTATTCTACTTTTCTAAATGTAAATTTTATATGCGTGTTACTTTAAGGAGGACAATTTTTAATTTTCGAAGCGGTTTTTGTAATAATTTAGAAAAACGTTGAAAAAATGGGAAAATGTACGTATTTGTATAAAAGTAGCGTCGCACGTCGCTCCGAATCATTTTTCGTTGCATACAAATATAAATTAAATTTTTCTCTATATCCTATTTTCCCATATTTTCACCTACAACAGTGGCCCAACCATCGTGTGAAGTATGTCCGTCCTTTTTATTTTACTTCAGACATTTCGTTGTTGGACTGATGTTTACTTATAATTTATAAATGTCTATGTAGACGAATATAAAACTATCAATTCATGTGATTATAATTATTTCTAATGAAAATATTTCTTTTATAATTTTTTAGATCATGTCGGGATCAATACGAGAATCTCCAGCAGATTTTAGAAATGGTGATTTAATAAGTCGTTTATTAGCCGCAACACCTCCATATCAAACCAATTCCACGTTTGTACCACCAGGATTATATTTCAGCGAAATGCTCAAAAGATTCGTACAAGCAAAATCTTATCCACCTTTATCCTTGAATAAAAGGGGAAGAAAGCGTAGCTGGAAAGACAGTGGAAAGGTTGAACAGCCATCTGAAGCGAAGCAAAAAAAAATGGATTTCGTACCGATGCCACCTGCTGTTCAGACAGAACCTCAATTTCCTTTATGGTACCCGCCCTTTTATCCGCCGACTTTTCCACCAGTGTATTTTAAGACACCTGAATCAGAACCTCTGAATTTGCAAATACGTTCGGATTCGTTAAAACAAGACAGACATTATTCAGCTTTTCGAGTCCCCGAACCGTCAAAGGTTGAAGAACTCGAGAAAATTAACAATAAACAGGGAACGAGCTATTTGATGGGAAACTTGACGAAAATCTATAAACAAGTGGCGCCGGAGGAAGAAAAAATTATCGATGTAGAAGGGGACGGGCCGGAAACTACACAATCCGAAGAAAATGAAAAAAAGGACTGTAAGGATTTGACGGCTCTTATTGGATTAGAATTAGTTGTTGATTACGTGAAACATGGAAATAATAAAGGCGGTCAAAACGATCAACACGTCAACAAGTGTTATCAAAATGCATAGTTAGAATTATTATAGATAAGCTAGCAGTCTGTAATTAATCAAACACAATTATTTGTGTAATCAGTAACATTTTTTCCTAGCTTTCTTTAATAATATTATCGTTACATCAAGAGATTTATTTAATAAAAATAATTCTTCAGCATCATTACGTATATTATTAATTATTATAGTTTCAAAAATGATACGTAAATTTAAATATAGTAATTACTATTGTAATATTATTAAAAACTATACAAATTATTCTTGAAGATTTATATAATATAGTAATCTATGTTCATTACAGTGGTGACGTACGAAGTTAAAACGTAACAATATAATATACTCACACGTGTGAAATACGTTTTCAACAAGGAAAAGGATATCGTCATGACCTGTCTCCTTTTTCAGTGTTAAAGTGACCAGTTCAACTCATTTGTGTGTGAAAATAGAAATTTAGTTTACGTGATCATAAAAAATGGATATTATATAATTTATACGAGTAAATAGTTTAAATTTATTTTTTGATTGTTGGAAATAATCTGAAAATATTTCTATCGATTTTTCTCATATATTGGATTTCGTTTTCAAAACGCATATTTACTCAAATTAATTATAAACACAGGGCCGTGCTGACCTTCATTGACATTCTCTATAGAGTGTCCTATGGCAATTCACTTTTTTTGACGCCCTTCCGAGTGTAATTTTGTAATGTTTTCTTAAATTTTTCTTTTTCCTCCAACTATAATAACGGATAATGTTAAACACCCTCTTTTTTCGACATCCTTGGGCACTTGTCCCACTTGCCTCTCCTCTTCTCTTAGCACGGCCCTGCAGTACGAATATTAATTAAAAACTAAATCAATATAATATGCACGCATTGTTTTTTTCCTGAATAACTTTGTGTGTACCATATAGAAGTATAAATATTAATATACAATACTACCTATAATATAATATAGATATAATATGTGATAAGTGTAGACAATTTTTATTTTATTTTTGAATACCTACTGGTATTGAACTCCTGTGAGTTTTTTTTTTTTAAATAATATTATATATACATAATATAATAGTTTTATAATAAGCGTAAAAGTTGCTAATTAAGTAAACAATTATTATTCCGAAATGTTTGTAATTTTCTAGTCATTTTGTTACCTATTATATTATTGATTACCTATTATTTTAAAAAATCAAACCTTTTTGCTACATTTTGTTACACTATGTTTATTACTATACGCTTTACGAATGTAATAATTAACAATGATTATCGTACTGTTATACCTATTATTAATAGTATGTTTTATTTCTGTTCTTGTATTAATTATTAAAAAATATAATATTAGTCATTTTGAAATGAATTCAATTAAAATGTAAGCATGTATACTATATATCCTATTTCCACGAAATCCCGCAAGATAAAATCTCACCAGGACATAATCCTGTCGAAAAAAAAAAGGATGAAACATCGCCTAATACGAAAAAAATGTACAATTTAACAAAAGCATAATTCAAGTGTTTGAATCGAGAATACATTGCACAAGTGTATTACAAAAATATAAGTGGAAAAATACGTAATTTAATATATTATCATTTAAATTCAATAACCGTACTGGATAACAAACTTCCATTTAACGCATGTATCTTGATGACAAATATAATAACGCCAAATTATACTTAGGGTAATAGAGTAATATAGAGCCGTTCTGTCTGTGGCGCAAATAGTTTCTATTTTACAGGATATAGGTACATACTTTTAGGAAAAAAATATTGCGAAATATTTGGTTCATTAGTTACCTCTACAGAAATATGTGATAAAATCATAATTCCTATGTAATCCTATGTAACATATGAAAGTACAGACAACACATTACACCAAATATTTTAAAATTTTTTTTTTTTTCCCCAAAAGTAATAGTAATGATAATTTAGTCCTATGTTATATGAATAAATAATGTATAATAATATAATATATAATGTTATCTTGATATATGAAATTATTTCAAAAATATATCTAAAGACCATTTTTTTATGAAATTTTGTCCTAGAATCATACTGCATGACTTATGGTTTCTTTCATTCTACCTATATCCATAATATTCAATGTATACTCGTCATGGGCGTCTATTAAAAGGGATTGAGGGAAGACATCTATCCTAAAAAATATTTTAACCCACAAAATATTGTTTTCATTTTTTCTTGACTGTCAGCTTGTATGATTAATTAATTACCCTATCACAATGAACTTCTCATAAAGCTGTACAATTTTTTACAGATTTTGTGTGCATACTTTATAAATTTCTGTGTATATAGTAGTCTTTAAATGCATGTGTGGACTCATGGATCTAATTTATTTATCACCTGGAAATTACCTAACGGACGTCTATAGTACACGTTTAAAGTTCAATAGCAAATACTATAATATTATAATATCATGTATAGGTAAGGTAGTCGATAGGTATAAGTATACTGATTCATACATAGGTATAGGCTATAGGGAACGGACACTAATTTTAAAGAAAAATTTGAACAGTATAGGTATACCATGATGGCACTTACACGGAAATTAAAAAATGCATAATGAAAAATTATTTATTATTGCACAATGAAAATTTATATAGTGTATAAGTAAACGCCGATTTCGTAAAATTATGATTTATTCTTGAATAATTATATAAAAGAAATTCAATTTCAATCTCAAAATGCATTAATTATATGGGTATACACATACTCCTTATACTCTACAGAGACGTACGCAGAAAAAATTTTTGGGATGTATTTTTTTAAAATCAGTTATTGAAAATTAGAACAAAAATATAACATTAAAATGCAATAAGTAAATAACCATACGAAAATACCAAACATTTTGGAGGGTGTTTGAACGCCCAAAACACCCCCCACGTACATGCCTGATACGCTATAATAAATAAAGAGGTCTGAAATCTCTTGATATTATTTTACTAATTAAGAATTATTTTATTATTTGTTTATAATTGTCTATCTGGTAAATACCAAATTAATATCATCAATCATGTTTAAATTATATTGTATATTATATTTTTAATTATCATATTTGTTTTCTTTTAAATATTATGACAATTAAAGTACAGTGACAAAAATTGATTTAATTTTCACGACTTTGTGCAAATAAATTCTTTTAAAGTGTGTTTTATTTATAAAAGAAATTGCCTTTTTTTATAATTTAAAATGTAATCTGTATAGGTACCAGGTACCTACACGAGTTCAGACGTATAAGACTGTACAATATGAATTGATATAATATCAAAAAAAAGTAAGAAATAATAAATATTAAACCTGTGTTAGTTAGCCTGAATTAGGCATGTACAATTAATTGATGGTATCAATTTTTTAAAAAAAATTGATTAATTGGATAATCAATAGTATCGTTACAATCGATTAATCGGTTATTGCGATAGTATCGATACTCGGCTATATTGATAACACGAGCATTACGATAACATTATGTTTGAATATTTTGATAATTTTCTGAAGAATTGTGCATTATTTTTTTTTTGCATTTTAATTTATTTTTAATAAAATTATAAAACAATACCTAGATGAACAAAAAGCCAGTTGTTTCGATAATATATTTCGTTCTAACATAAAGTATATAGCGTCCATTTTTATTTGATAATAAACAAATAATACTATTGTAATCTAATAAAATAAAATAATATTTATTTTACGCATATTTTTGATTTTTTCAAAAAAAATGAGAGAAACTATGATAATCGTCAAAAAATTGAGTCATTTTTTTATAAGTGATAAATTTGAGTGATTCGACACCCCTATAATGGTGTCACTTCTACTTGCAGGAAAATTTGACATCGATCATATTATACTATTACAAAATAGACTAGCTTTTCTCGACATTGGCGTAAGAAATTTCTGTGATCCGATTTTAACAACATTATCGATAATATTGATAGTAACTCGAGATTCTGAAACATAATGAATAAGTATACTCAATAAGATAGTATTATAATATTTTTAATCTCGATTGATAAAATAAATACGCTCAAATATCATTATTATTACAGGTATAAAATAGGTATTATACATATTCCGAAACACAATGATTTCCATACAATACGAGTACATACTAAACCGCATTAACATATGATTATACTGTATTCGTAAATTCAATAAAGACACCCTCCGGCACAAGTGCTCTCTTTTTTTTTTTCTTTTTTCCTTTTCTAATATTCACGGTCAATATTCAGCCCTATACGTCGTATTTTCCGGTAAAATGAGTACTCATTCACCTCCAACACCCGCAGCGGTTCTATTTATTCCTATTCGAAACCGTTGAGTTATTATTAACGTCACTCGTCGACGTGAGTTCATACAGATTTGTATTCAATATAATATTATACACCACAGACTCGTTGTAATATTATATTATAATACGACGCGTGTAATTATGTTTTGCAGTTATTAAAAAAATATGTTGTCACCCGTGCGTCTAACTAATATTCGTGTTATCGGGTGCGATATATTTTTTTTTATTTTCCACGCTCGGGTCTATTTTAATATTTTATACTTTGAGTGTTGGAAATTATTCGGCGGGCGTAGGAAAAGAGAATAAAAGAAATAAAAGTGCTCAGAAGTCTGATCGATAATTTTTAATTTCGGTGACGAAGAAACTGCAGAAAGGGTTATCTAAATTAATAACGAGTAGATAAATAATAATCCGTAAAATAACACTAATGAAGTTTATCAAAGATGGGAGGAATAATTCGTTCGGAAATGAATTATTTGTTGGTGAACAATTTGATTGAAAAATATTATTTCGTTCGGACGATAGCGGGGGTGGATTGGAAAAATATTTCAGTGCTAAAAAATAATAAATAAACCGACGCGAGGTTGTTGCAATTAATGATTTTGAGTTACATCCATGACATTTTTAAGTTATATTATATATCATAAAATAATCAATTTATTATAGTAATATATATTTGTAAAAGTGGCAATATGTTAATATATTTGGCCATCTTCCCATAAATTAGGTCCATCCCCAATTTTATTTATATTTATATTTAGACCTTTCTATAAGTATAGCACCTCATCTGAAATTCTTCATATTCCATAGATACCTACTTTATAATCAATTGTTTTAACTTAGGTACACTATTTCGAAAAATTGTTGTATTAAGAAAAAAAAAATGACTATTAAAAAAACAACCACTTTTGATACATTAAATTCACTCATACTGACGAAAAATGTTCATAAAATCTCACGGGAAGATTATAAATAAATGATTATTAAAATAATAAGTAATAAAACTTAACAAAAACAAAACAGGCACTTGAGTCGTCGGTTGGTGATGAGGAGAGTAAGTAGAAAGTAGTCATGCACTCGTGCAAGTAACGAGACCGACGGGGTGACCTGCATGATGTTATAAACGCTTTGCTTGATGGACGATGCGAACATAATAATATATACATGAAAACCACGAATTAAGATATATCTTAAGTCGTGATGAAAACATATAACGCTAATTATGATAATAATTATACAAAATAATACCACAGATCAAATGAAACCATGAACATAAAATAATAGCACTTTAACCAATCTGCGATATCCAACGATAACCTAATCGTCACTATCGTTATTTTCCTATTTTTTTTTTTATCGAAAAAACATTTATAAATCACGATTTGTTTATTAAATTAAACAACAATTAGGAAAAAGATTAAAAATTATTTGTCTACGAAGCAGTCCAGTATATTGGGAAAACTCCCGAATTCCCGGTGGACTAATCCGCCCTTGGACGGTAGGTATTTTATTTGACAATAATTATAGTATGTATAAGCAGGAGCCAAGTGAGAACCAAAATAAAATCAGAAGATTAAAATGTACCCATGCCATCCAATCAAATACGTACATATTAAATAAATTATTGTTCTCACGTTTTAATTTGAACCAGTCTCGATTTTAGATTGAGGGGAGATCAATATGTTTTTACTTGAGACATGGGCAAAAATAAGAGAGGGGAGTGAGATTTGAACTCCAACAAATTTAGAAAAGTGTTTTCGTCAATGTGCATTTTAATTTAATACTTTAAACGGAAATGTACACAAAATCTCTAAAAGGTACTGAATGAGAATATAATATGTTTCTAGACATAACTATTTACTACATTTTTAAATAAGTAAGTTCAAATATACACAAAAATCAAGTCACCAGGCCATAATACGATCCAGGACATGTACAGGAAAATTTGCATTTCCAGACCGGCCAATCTTTCCCTGCTTCCTACCTATATAATATAAGCATCGTATACCCGTAACGAAATTTAATTCCCGTGACACCTTACAAAAATTACTTTCGGTTCGTACAGACGTACAGTTCCTAAATGTATTAATTTGTGGACTGTGATAATATGACACCGGTGTTGTTGTTTTGTTAACAAAATCAAGTAGTAGCCTATAAGCTATTGATTACAACGTTTCTGTATATGAATTGCCTATCCTATACGAATTGTTAAGGAGAAATACAATATGTATAATATTGTGAATTAACCAATAATAATGAATATAATTCGTAAATTATAACTCTATAATTGTTTTAATTTGCTCGTATTTAACAAATATTTGTAAATCGTCATTACTTTCTTTGTACATAGTCTGAATGAATTAAAACAAATTAATAATTACAGTCCAGACAAATGTCAGGAGTTTTGATTATATACTTAGGTATATTAGGGTATCTATCGGTTATTTTTGAAGTTGTGTAATTTAAATAGTGCTTTTCACTAGTTTTCAGTAATTTATCTCATAGAAGTTATCTTCGTACGAATATTATTATTTATAATATTAAGGGGTGTAGTATACGCAACTTAAATACATAATATAAGATAGGCCACAATTATAGTTTTCAAGGGGCTATATTATCGATTTTAAATTCTTAGTGAAGCGATAAAGCTTGTTTTATAAAGATGTTTATTTTTTTTTTAGTCTGTGCACAACTTTTCTACCAGAAGATTTGCTAGGATTTTTACGTGCAGCGCCTTTTCTGAAAGGAAATCAACGTGAGAAGGTACTTTGAGTAGGTTGATTTTCGATTTTCTCAGGAATTTTCTCATCAAATTTGAAAAACCGACAAAAAAAACGGAAAAATATAAGAAATGTAGGTATTAGATGAAATATATTACTGCCTTCTTTTTTTCTGTGTACAACTTTTCTATCCGCAATTTCGCTCCAACTTTTAATGATAGCAATGTTTCTAAAAGGAAATTTCACTAGCGAGGTATTTTAGAGAGGTGATTTTTCATTTTTCCAGAGAGTTTTCCCAGCAAATGTGAAAAACTGGGATAAAACATTGGAAAACCGGAAAAACGTAGGAAAGCTGGGAAAATCGGTACAACTTGAAACAAATATTATTAAAGAAAATATATAAAGCTTATTTAATTTTTCTACTATAAAATAGCATATATATTGATGACAAAGCATTACTATCGACTAAATTCCGCCCAGAATCGTTTTTTCGTAGGCGTTGGTTAATTCTTGCTTACAGGTATACATTAAATTATCTATAACAGTGGCTGCACCCGTCCCCATTATCCTAGGACGTCCTTTTACCATTGAGTGTAGTATTGATGCATAGACCTTGCTAAAACTAAAACTGACCTTGCCTATAGAGTAGCTGTGGTAGTAACCGGTCAGACAGAGATGTACATTATAATTACATCAGTGTTGTCATTGCACTAGTACAATAAGTTGTCTAGTACAATGTACAATAATGCCACGTAAAAGTCAAAAGTCACACATGAAGAGCGCCCTCTATCAATGACCGTTCTACGGGTACAAAATACCGTGTTTATTAGTATAAGGTCTATGGATCTACAAACCTATCAAACTTATAACTACGATATTAGGTACTTTGGTTTCCCAACGATCTATGATAGGAAAATCTTGATTTATGGGAGTCACTTTGGTAGACACTTTTTCCTATGGGAAACCATAGTGTTTACTACAATCTTAGATTATTTTCTGTCTATAATTATCGGCAGTTAGACACTCCGTGTATTCCTGTGTTAGATAAATAGGTGACCTTGGGTCTCCAAAACTCGACAAAATGTGCTCTGAAATTACATAGAATGTTGGCCACCACCAGCCGCTAATTTTAACATCAATACTATTAATATGTCCGTTTTCGTAACTCTGATAAATAAACGTATGACATCAGATTTGGTTACTGGTTAACGGACACATTTCCTCAAGCTGTGGTCACACATTACGGTTTTATTTATCCATGAACAGTGTTCGGCGAAGTTCGAACAGTGTACGCGGAGTTTAAAACGGACGCAGTATACCGAAACGGATTGAAAACTGAGTATATGTAGTTTAATGTTTGCTCCGATGATTGAAATTGGTAAAACGGAGAGCGTATGACCAATTATGGAATCATAGTTCTGATCACGAGTAAACGAAATTCGATCAGTTGATCTATTAATGTTCTATAATGTTCGTCGCTGGTATCCTACTTATAATTAATAGACAGGCCAACTTAACGATTTCGACGCGACAGTTGCGACAAGTATGCATGTAAAATCTTTAAAACAATTATCTACGTTTAAAAAGTAAAACAAAATATGGCTAACACACAGTTCGAACGGAACCCTGAAATGGAATTCTGACGCTGTAGAATTGTACTGTGATAACATAATTGATTAAAAAAAATTCGTTGATACAAACCGGTGTAAATTTCCGCTTGGAAATCGAACCGATGTGAATTTTGAGAAATTTTTCGTAATAACCGGTGTTAAAATTAAAGACACCGGTTTAATTTTTCCGCACCAACACGCGCATATGGTGCAAACTTCGTACACAGGTTTCATCTACTCTCATTTCATAATAAACGAACAGATAAATGATAATAATAATAACTTAATCGATAACATTCAAATTAATTACTAGTTACTACTTATGTATTAATAAGCGGTAAACGGGAAGTATAGGTATTAATTTAAATAACCGATTGAATTTTATCTGATTGATATACTATCATTGTTAATTTTGGACAATGGTGGAGATATACCGGCTTTCATCGTCGAATACCTATGACTGGTGTAAAATAATCAGTATCAAGCGTTGGTAAAACCGGTAGAAAATGTATCGGCACGCTAGTAAAGATTGTATTATACCGACGAATTTCTCGAACATATTATGCCGGATTGCATTGTTGTTAAAGTTTATAACCAGAAAAAACGAATTTTGCAACAAACCAATATTATTATTTACAGTGAATGTGTTAATAACGCCATTAACGCGTTATAATAATAACAATAATATGGAAATCGACGAGAACTGTGCGGCGATTCCACCCGGCGGACGTGCGGTACAACACGGGGGGCGGGGGTGTCCCCCCGTCCGGGGGGGGGACGCGGAGAATCGCGAGACCGTAGAGCAATAGCGCCCAAACCGTATTTCCGCGGCGTAGCATCCAACCTCAAAAACTCTCGTATCTGAATTGCCCTCCCTGAAAACCGGACTTTCGAACGGTTTACAACCCGTTCCAGCCGACTGCTGTATCCCGATCGCCGGGAACGTCTGCCCAAAATGTGGTGCGCAGCAACACTCGGCTGTTACGCTGCCGAGCGTGGTTTGGGCGGCACTGCCACGGAGTGTCGCATTCGAAACGGTTTTACGTGCGCGCCACGGCCGATATGGTTGGTTACAACGACGCCGCGGTTTATAAATACACCCGACCGGGGGAATATCGACACACCGAGATAAGGAAACCACGGATGCGGGACAGGGGTTTTTTCGTGTAGGTTATTAAAAACAATAATGCCCGGTCGTAGATAACCGCTATGGTGAAAAATTACGGATACCGCAGCTGTCCGCGTCTCACCGTCGACGACCAGTTCAATCGCTCGTCGCGACCCCGGCCGCCGGTGGATACGCGAACTTCTCCGACGACAATATTTTAGCTCTACTCCAATTATTGTTATAATTTATAACACGACCTAACCGTCGATAAATCATTATTATTATCAATATTGTTACTATACTCCGTTCGACGCCCGACCCGACCGTCAGTCGCAAATCGTTTCGCCCGCCCTCCCCCCCTCCACCCCCGTGCGTTTCTGTTTTTTTTTTTTTCGTTTTATTTTCTTTTCCGCCGTCCGAATATTAACACAGTTCGCGATAGCTCCGAGCGGGCGGCACACCGATATCGGCAACGCTATGAATCATTATCGCCGACAAGCGGGCGACACCGCGTCCGACGCGGGGACGACGGCGATGACCGACCACGGACGTAAGTACGGAGGACTCGGAGGACTCGGCGGAGGCGGCCGCGGCGACATCAACTGGCAGGTCGCAGAGCCCGCGTCCGGCCGGCAGCCGCGCAAACCCAACAACAAAAAGTTCACGGCCTTCCGGAAGTTCGGCGGCGGCCGGCCGGAATCGGGACCGGACGACCGGACCGCGTCCCGTTGCCACTACGAGCCCGTCCGGCACGCGGACGAGACCCGCGACGCCGTCCAATGGGAATCCATGACCAAACATTTTTCCAGGTACGGTAAATACACGGATCCGCCGTAGACATCGTGTTATTATTATTTTTATTATTATTATTACGGTATTATTATGCGCGTGCGAACGGCGCGGATACGGCGATAAAACGATACTTGTCGCGGTGAAATTGATTCAAGCCTTGTGGTCGAAAATTGCGCCCCCCCCCTCTCCCCCGAGTTCGAGTCGCGTACTCGACCGGCTGCCGATTGAGAACGTGAATTTCGCTAAAATACCGCTTGAGCATCGCGTTCAATTTTTTAAATTTATTTTTTTTATAATACAAAAACCGCGCGGCGGGTTCGACCATAGTGTTTACACCCGTTCTGTTATAATTATATTTTTCTCGAAAACAAAACGGCCCGACGCCGAAAACGCGCCCGCAGAGACGAGTTACCGCGGTACTCGACCAACCCGAATAATTAATACGCATTTGGTCGGCAGTTTGGTGCGTACGGGTCACCAGAGTTGTCGCGGTTTATTTTCGCCGTCACTTGTTGCATTGATAACAGCGTTTACAGGCCTTCAAACTAATTATCATTATTATCATAGTTAATTATGCCGGGTACGCCACGGCGTCTACCCCGGGGACTCGTTCGTTTTTGCGTCGTTTTTAGCCATCTCGACGGAATGCGGTTTTCACCGAGTTTTTACACGTTTCCGATTATAGAACAATACCGTATTTTGCGATACCGTCCGAGTTCGGACGCAATCGATTTTATTTCGTCGTAGATAAAGAAGAAAGAAAAAGAAATGGCCTATACTGGGGACGGGTGCGGCCACTGTTGTAGTTGGGAAGGTGGGATGCATAAATCTATTTAGTTTATACCTGTTTAAAGTAACGATAAAAAAAAAAAAAAAAACAGGGTAATAAACTATTGTTAACGAAATCTAAACGATTCTGAATGGAGTTCAGCTGTTAGTGATGCTTTGTCAACAATTATATAGGTGTATTATGTCATATTATGGTAAAATAATTAAATAGGCATTATGTATTCTATTAATTAATATTTGTTTAATGTACCGTTGTTCCCGGTTTTCCCGTGTTTTTCCCCGGTTTTTCGCATTTGCTGGGATAACTGTGTTGAGAAAATCGAAAAATAACCTAATTTACCTCCCCAAACCGATTTCTTTGCTGAAAAGTTGCTACATTTAAAAATCGGAGCAAGATTTCTGGTAGAAGTTGCGCACAGATAAAAAAACAACTGCGTTTTCACGACAACGATGATTGTTTAAAAACGATTAAGAGATTTAAATAATTAAAACTTAATAATATCAACAAAATAAATAAAAACGGTTGAAAATGTTAAACCTTAATTTTAATCTAATGAACCAGTTTTTCTTCATTTTCTTGAATATTAATGAGATATTCAAAAAATGACCTTTCTGAAGTACCAGCTATAGTCGAAATGCAACAAAAAAGATCATTCATCGTGTTTTGATTGAATCAAGATATCTAGGAGAATTTTTTTACAGACAGCAAAAAAAATTAAAATACACGTCATAATAAAACCAATTGATCCCTCGTTTCACTCATAATTTAAAATTGTCTTTGTCATCTGTGCATTTGAGGGTTGGGAGATTAGAAGCGATGATTTATATCCCCCTAAATTCTAAAAACGCCGTAATAAAAATGAAGAAATTAAAATACAAAATCAAAAAAATGGGAATGTCAATCTCAAGTAGACTCGACAACGAATTCAAATGAATTTCTTTCAGAGTTCTTATCGTTTCACTAGACCAATCGATACGTTTGGATTAGAACACGTTTTCAAAATCCTCTTTATATTAAATGTTTAGCTTTGTTGCCCCCAGTCGTTTAAATTTAGGTACTCATTGTTATCATTTCGGCAAAATATGTTTTTTTTTCCCCCCATGAAATCGAACGGTATTAATTTAATTTCACCGTAGTTAAAGAAAACGGAAACATTTTTTTAATTATTTACGAATTTAAGAATTGATTTATATTTTCCCGCGCATAGCTGTACGTACCTACGTCGACATTTCTGTTGTGTGTTGTGTATTATAGTCGTGTAAAGCAAATTACGAATCCGTGTCTTTTCGACACGAGCATTTTTTTTAGTATGTATTACGCTATGACTGTTAAGCTAGTTAAAAAAAAAAAAAAAAATCCCCCTGCGGAAAAATCCAGAATATATCCTAATGAAAGCCGGTCGAAACCTCAAAACCAAAAATAACCGATTATCGTCGGTTGGTATTTGATTGTGAAAGTTTGCTCGGTCATCTGCTTACAATTATATTAGATTTCATAGAGTACCCATCACGTCATCGGCCCGCCGCTACCGTATGTTTCATTATGAAAGTTTACAATTTATAGACATTTACGATTTTTATGGTCTACACTTTGTTGTCCCGTCCATGGTTTCGTTTAAACCGTACGCGATTTCCTAGGGGACACGCAGATGATAGTTTTATTATTTCGAATGGCATTCGACTGTCTTTTTGTTTCAACTTGCGTTGCGTTATAAGCCTCGTGCAGTTAATTCGAATTTTAAAACCGCACAACCGTCAGTTGTAGACTTGAGACGTCGTGTTATAGGTACCAAAAAAAAATTCTGGGTACGACGGACATTTTCAACCGGCATCACAAAGGAATATATTTCACGTTTTATATTTTCGTTTTGTCAACTAATTAATATTATTAGGTATAGATAAGTATTAGGTGTAGATAAGTTTGATTTATTACGTTAATTTCGGCGAAAGTCGCGTTTTAGCGACTTTTAGACTTAAGCCGGTTTTTCACAGAATGTAGAATACCGGTGGTGTCAAAAATTAACCAGAACTCAAATTGACGCGATTGGATCGGATTAGATTTAGATTAAATTATAAAATAGATTAGATTAAAGGGATTGGATACCGATGTTTTCTTTCTTTATCTGGTTGCAATTCACGGATCAAACAACGTTGCGATTTTCCCGAAACCAGTCTGATCGACTAATGCGATAATAATATTCTGTAAACGGATTTGAGTTCTGTCCCGTTTCAGTTTTAATTTAAATTTGGTTTTTTTTTTTTATATATATATATATACGTTTTCAAATTTTCGGAAACTAAAATATGATGAAATTCGAAAATGTGGTCCGACCGGTTTCACGTACACTAAGCACTGGATTCAAATCAGTTTTCAGAAATCGTATTACCCCTTACTTACTATTGCTTCGCTAGTTCAAATACGGCTTACAGTGTCGTGTCCAAGTTTTATCAAGGAGGAAGGGGGAGTTTAGTAGTGATGAGCACTACGGAGTGAAAACTATTCGATAGTTTCAAACCATCTATTTACTCGGTTGTTTTTAAAAACTATCGAATGAAAAACAATCTGTTGTTTTTTAAACTATCGATTGACAATCGACAGTCAAAACTAGTCGATTCCGCCCATCACAGTTTAGCCGGTTTAGGGGTCTAGGGGTACAGAGGGTCTATAACCTTTTTAACATTACCTATGACTAAAAAAAAAAATCAATGTAGGAGTCATAAAACCCAAACTCCCTGACTATGTTAGATACGTGAAACGTTCATAACCATGGAAATATTATCTGTATTTTTTTGAAAATTCTGTACTTAATAATAACTTGTATTGAATTCGTATTCGTATTTTGCTACAAGCCGGGATGAGATCAGATGCCTAATAATCTTTTTTGCCTTCAACCCAACTATTTGGGATCGTGCACCATCGTTCTAAACTTCCATTTGATTCGATGTACCACCTCGTATACATCAGCTGTCATAATATGATTCTCAATCACATCGAACTATTTCTTTCAGTTTTTCTTTCCACCTATTTCCTCCTATATTTATTTTCATTACAATTCTTACTGATTCAGATTCTCCGTGATATGCCCTCATTTCGCCTTCAATTGAAGACGTGCCTAAACTAACTTTGGTGTACTCATCCGTAAAATATCGGTGTCGTACTATTTCTTATAAAATTAACTTATAAACTTATTCTTTGCGTAAATGATTTAACACAAAATGTACAATTAATACTATTAGACTCCATATTAAATGATATATTATACAATAATATCACAGAATACTGAATACTATATTAAGCCAAAATCCAAGAAGTATTAAACTTAGACAAGTAATGTAATATAATGAATTAAAAATAACATAATAAATAACAATCTAAAAACACAAGTATATTAAAATGACATTACTTTATTACTAAATAATATTAAGATAGTTAAAGTATTTAATAGATAGTTAAAGATAGTTAAGATATAAGTGAAATGATATCAAAACAACAAAATAAAATATACAATTTATTAATGCTATCAGACAACATATTTCGTAATATTTCAGAATATTATATTAACCAAATCAACAAACAAATGATATAGTATTTGCTACAAAGTACCAAACAATGGTATAATTATATTATATAACAATAATAACAATTATAATTATAGTATAGTATACAGTTGATATCATTGTATCAAAACAATAAACATTCTATTATCATAGCCATATTCATAATAGTAACTCTGTATTACTATTGGCTGATGTCAAAAACCTCTGCCGATTTCGGTTCAATAAAATTTGCACAGCTGTTTAACCTTATCATTTAGGTAATTATAATTTTGTTATCACGAAAAACATTCTTGATATTGAATTATCCGGTTATAATTTGACATGGAAAAAATATTCATACTGATAGCTGAGCAAGTGGTTATAACCCCTGTTACAACCATTAATTAACAAATATAAATAATGAAATACTTGTACGCAACGCAATCTATTCAATAACAATAATGATTTTACAGAACCGATTGTTACACTTTTAATACATTTTTTTTTTTTAAACCCATTTTTTAAGTCCCCTTAACATGCAACCTTTTTTTTTTACATAAATTTCTTAAAAAAAATAAAATAATAATAAATAAATAAAACCGTTCAGTTAAAATGTATTTTATTATTTGATTTTTTCTTGACAATAATAACAACCGCGCTGCCTATTCAGATATATTATATAATCTACGTCTACAAAAAGTCTATTTACACACGGTAGTGACGTGACAGTGCTGTAACCGTCCCGGGATTCCACCGGCCAGGTTAATAATATTCTTAAAGGAAAGATAAGCTTGTTGTTCTCACTCGTCCGGTGCCGCGACCCTACTGTTGCGAGCAGTGAGTGCTGTGACTAGTGAGATATCTTGCGGACGGCATTTTTCTCGTTTCGCGGCCGCGGTGTTTAGTTAGGTATTGTGTATTTTTCCCAGTTTTAATTGTAATGCCCACCATTATGCCCATGCCCATATGGTGTATCGGTGAACAATTGTGTACGCACCTAAAAGGGGTTAAAAATATACCCCGGAAAAATGTTTCTCGTTTCGCTCGAAATGGCATTCTACTCAATGATTTTTTTTTTTTTTTTTTGGGAGGGGCTCCAAACAATCCGGACCCCGTGGACCGGGGGGGACTCTAGCTTGGTGCCTGATACCAGTTACTATACATCAAACTACCTAACCATGTAATTACAGCTGCACATAATATTCTATGGTAACACCCTGAGCATTAAACTAGTAGACTTTAGTAAGATCTATGCTTAACGTGGTTCTACTAAAAATCGTGTTTTATTATTAAATGTATCAATGTCATTCATTATTTTAAACTATTATGTTATCACTTGTCGTACTGAGCAGTCACGGAACTACGGGGGTGATAGGGGGTGCTTAAGCACCCCCTCCATGTCGTTGTAATTTTATTTTTAAGAATTTATGATCAGTTCATATTAAGACGTTTTTTTTCAATATCTGTACAAACTTTTATGTAGTTTGCATTAACCATTCTAGTCAGTTCGGCAATAAGCGAAAATTTAAACAATTATCTGATAAATAAGCATGATGCATACAGCTATGGTTTACTAACTTAAGTATCATTATCATTGAGAGAGACTTAACGAATGAAATTGACCCGGAAGAAATATTAAACAAATTTGCTTGCACTGATTTAAATTTAAAAAAAATTAATATTACACAATAAAATGATTAAAAATAATATGTATTAAAATTGTCAATGCATAATGTTGGGGAGAGTGGGGGCGGAGCCTTTGCGACTATATGAATTTCATAATTTTTGCACCCCCAAGATTTGGACTTTAGTTAAGCCGACGGTACTGAGATGTTTTATTCATGATTTAAAATATGCTAAATTAAATAATAATAATTTATCAGTAATAATTATTACTTCATCAAGTGCTATTATTTATTAATGTTTTATATCTTTTCTTCAAAATCTACCTGACGTCTCTTATTATTAGATTGGTCAAAATGAATGTTAATCAATTAAAATATTTGGGCCTGGACAATCGTTATAACAATAAAATCAATTGTTATTGTTATTTGTTGAGTAATTTTTTTTAAATTTGTTGTTTTTGCTCCCCCTCTCCCATTTCAGATTTTGGCTGTCACTGTGTCGTCGTAAATAACTTTTTATTGGCATACTTCGGTAATTTTTTATTGTCATTTACTTAGTTTGAAAGTGAATCGTAACCTAACAGTATTAGGTTGAGCGGGATATCTGCTATAAAGGTCTACATTTTAAACTTGATCAAAAGTCTGTTCTCTTTTGGGACAGACTATATAGTTTAAAATATAATAATTGTTTATTATTATTATTTTTTACGGTTTTATGGTGACTACGATAAATTAAAAACTCTCGCATCTTTAATGTACATATTTTTAGTTGGCGTATACCTATAATAATCAACGAATTTGTTTATAATTTCGAAAATAAGTATCCGGGCACAGTGGCGGGCCCGGAGGGGGAGGGGATGTTAGCGGTTATATCCCCCCAATTGCTTAAAAATCCAACAAAATATGAGTAATCTAATATCGAAACTCATAAATTTCAGTCGATTTCCGAGAAAAAACTTGATATATTGATTAGAAATTGGCTTTTTTTTTATGATCCGGCTTTTGAATTACTCTTTTTTCACGATTTTTATTCGTTACATCCCCCCCTCCCATTGGAAATTCCTGGGCACGCCACTGTCCGGGCATACGTCGTATATACCCGCGTATACCCACCAATACGCCATTGACTGTACCCAACTTTACCCAACGTCGGATGAAATACTGGCCAGTATAAATAGAAATCTCGGCCGGTGGAATCCCGAAACGTTCATGGTACTGTCGCGTCACTGTTGTGTGTAAATAGACCTTAAAAGGGGATTGAAAGCGACGAGTTTCTGTCTTTGTCTTACACTCGTGAGATATAGGGATTTCGACGTGTTTCAATTCCAACGTACCGATTGATTTAGTGAAGCGATAAGAATTCTGGAAACAGATTTGAATTTGTTGTGAAGTCTACTCGAGATCGACTCTCCCACTTTTTAAATTTATCTCCTTAAATTCTAAAAAAAAAAAAAACCATACTAACATAAGAGTAATTGAAAAAAATGGAATATTTTAATTTGTTGAAAAATTGACTCAAGTAGACTTCACGAAAAATTCAAATCTGCTTTCAAAATTCTTATTACTTCGCTACATCAATCGGTACGTTGGAAATAAAACACGTTTAAATCCCTAAATCTCCTGTGTGTAAGACAAAAATAGAAACTCGCCGCTTCCAATCCCCTTAGGTATGAATTGACGCACGCACCATCACCATCGCCATCGATAAGGAATATCAAGTGATTCATTTTTGTGTTTACGAAAAACCTAAAGAGCTGTATAAAAATAATTCGCTTAGTGTATATATTATTAGTTGATAAATTTTCGATATTCCGGAGTTGTATACCGCGCACCTACGTACACATAATGGGTTGGTAATGTTATAATTATTTTCTCCGAAAAATATTTACACAACAGAATTGTTTTTATATTATTCCCTAACGTATAGTTATTAAGGTCAACTTTAAGGCTATCTTAAAGATAACCTATCTTATCTATCAACTATAATATGTTTATTTTTTTTTTACTGGAAAATACATTTTTTTTTTTTTTTTTCAACATAGGCAATGGGAAAAACAAACAAAATAAACCGATAAAGATAACACGGGAAACAGCGTATTAATCGGTCTAAAAATAAACCGACAATTCATATAGAGACACTTTATAAAAAGTCTTTCATAGAGAATCTTTTTTTTTTTTGCGTTTGCACACTATAACGACGACGATGCGTCGTTTCGGTAGACATTATCTGGGTTTGAGTAAAACTTTTGATACGTCACTCTGCAGCCGATAAGCTGTTATACGCATATAATAAATAACATACCCATGTGTTTTTATTTTGGTTTTATTATTGTATATTTTTTTCAGTTTTTATTATTATAATTTTTTTTCCGTCTGTAAACGACTTCGTAGAGAAATCTTGCTCCGGTGTGGTACGTACCTTTTATGAAAGGGAATTTTCTCTAGTTGGTGCATTAGAGAGGACATTTTTTTTTTTGATTTTCCAAGGGGTTTTGAAAATAATCGAACAAAAACCCCGAAAGAAAATTCTAGGTAAAACGATAGTTATTATTATTATTTTTTTATTATTAATGAAACGACTGTGATTTATGTTGTTTCCGACAATGTTATTGTTTCACATTAGGACGTCTACCGAAACTTCAGCGATGTTCAATCAAAACGATAAAATACACATTCCAAACGGTTTGATTGATAATATTTTACTGTCGGACCTTGTTCCGAAATTCAACGTTGCCAACTGAAAGTTCCTCATCGACATAAACGTTGATTTTTAAACGGAGTTTTTAAGACGACCATAGATCTATGATACCAGGGATACCATGCATCCCGTATTATACGGCCTTGTCCCGTATTCGAGACAAGCGTCCCGATGAAGTGTTCTAAACACTTTTGTCCCGTATTCCGAATCGCCCGTGTAACCGGAACTTAAGTTTTTTTTTTGTCCGTCCCCTTTTATTCCTTTTTCGACTAGCCTAGGGCGTAGGGCTTAACATTAGATGCGTGATGTGGGTATTAAGTATCACTGCAAACAAATTATTACATTTTCGAATTGTATTAACACATTAATATGTCAGTTGAGTTTGGGTTCTAAATTATTTAGATTTAGACTGCGGAAATTCGATAAATTCGACAAATTTTATTGAAATTTAACAATTTCCAATACGTTCGCGGTGGGATGGGGGGTATTTTTGGTTTAGCCGAGTGGACAATTTTATCGGCGGTTCAAGGCGAAAACACTTCGAGCCGCCACTGAGCGGAATACCGTAACAATATCATTACGTATATTATCATACAGGCTGTTGTTCGCGTTGACGAGTCGATAATAATCGCGTGTAATAAAATGTTGTTGTAGGCTGCCGCCGTTCATCGATGATAACGTGGACAAATTCAAAAACGGAAACCCGCGGACGAACATACCGCAATATCATCATTTGCATTATTACAGAGACTTGCACCAGCTACATCAGGTGGCGTACGTAAGTGGACCACTCGCGATTCTGTATCGAGCTGTATATTTTGAATAATACAAAAACCCCATGACGTGTCCCCTCCAAAATGTTGTTCGCTAAAAATTTCACAACGGGTACTTTTACTCTAAAATCAAAATTAAACTAGTTTTACTTATTCTGCGTAAGCATTGTTTTTGCGCATTTTACCCGGTAGTTGGGACTGAGATAGCAGATGCGGGTATAACGTCCTGTCAACGCAGTTCTCAATTTTTCACCTCCACTCCTCCGCGTACCTTAAACGTGCATACATTTTTTCTGAACATTTTAGTTTGCCGTTTGTGAGTTAGGTATGTCGGTTTAAAATTTCTAACCAAGGAACCGGGAATGGTACTTAACGCCATAATAAATATTTTTTAGACATTAAATATTGATAACGCTGTGTAGTAGGCAGAGCAGTGACGTGCCGAGGATTGGTTTTTCTGCACGGCGGTGAAAATACAGGCTGTAATAAAAATCCAATCGTAAATATCGAATGACGACATAAGAGTATTAATTGTTTTTATAGATCTGAACATTATGATGTACATAAAATCGGAAAAAACTTATAAACTCGAAAATTTCAAATAGCTATAAATAACATAAAAAAAAAAAAAAATGTGGAAAATTCGCATTTCTTCCGCAGGCCACCCGGAATTCGTCGATCGGCAGAAATCCGCAGCAACCGTGTTGCAAACCGTTGAAATGGAATCCGTTCGGGGGACCCACCGGAACGTATATGAACGCTTTTTACCTATCGGAGCCCGGCCGGTACGCCACGCACGCGAAAAAGGTGATCTGCGACGATTCGCTAGTGGAAATGGACGAAACAGACGAAGTAAGTTCATTAAAGCGATACTGATATTGCGCGTCTACAATAATAGATATTGTTGTGGTTGTATTTCGTTAAAAAAGGCACGGCACAACAACTCGGCTTTAAGATTAACGCGAATAAAAAAAAAAAAAATAATAATAATAATAAACGTTCATCGGTGTTCTTCTTCTCGAATATTTTGTACAGTTGTCGTCGGCCATCTGGCGCAGATACTTGGACAACCGTCAGTCCGAGGACGTTTACAACACGAAATTAACCATGTGGTGCACTCTGTCGGCGCTCATCAAGAGCCGGGCGCCCGGCTGTGGCCTGTACCTGGTCGGGTCGACGATGAACGGTTTCGGCGGCGACGTGAGCGACGCCGACTTTTGCCTTTTGACCGGTTGCACGGCGGCGGCGTCGGCGGCAGTGTCCGTCGGGGGCGGCCAACACCAGCGGGCAATAGCCGCGGCGGCGGACGAGCGGCACCGATCGTGCGGCGTCGAGCGGCTCCAATGGCTGATGGCGCTGTTGGGACGCGAACGGCTGGACGACGACGTTGCGATCGTCGATCCGCACATTGTCTACGCCAAAGTGCCTATACTCCGGTTCTGGTGGGTAAAAGACAATGCCAGGGTGGACGTGGACTTGTGTTGCAACAACGTGGTCGGCATCCGAAACACGCATTTGCTGTATTGCTATTCGAGACGTGAGTATGGCCAATGGCGTAATTCGAGAATATTTCATTGGCCCCGGGGGGAGGGGGGGAGAGGGTGATATGAAAACAAATATCCGTAATAAACTTGTGGGAGGCTTTGCCCCTCCGCCCCGTATCTACATTTTATATCTCATCACATCAATTATTCTATATTACATAATATCAAAATTAACAAAACAAATTTAAGAAATCCGTCATCAATGTTTGGATTATATTATAATTTATATATTTATATTAAGATATATTTAGATGTACATTAAATTCCCGTCTGTGTTCTACTTTCCCAACTTCCCACCTTTAACAGTGGTCGCGCCCACACGCGAAGCATGTCCTTAATTTTTAATTACATAAATATTATTACAATATTATGTCCAGATTCCTAGGCTTCTTAGCAAGTTCATCAATGACTTCTTCATTTAAAAATTTATCACCATAACGAATTACCAGACCATTAAGTCTTCTTTAAAAATCTTTAGGTAAAAGGCAATATATAAATACGGCTTATGCGAAGATCTATCCCCCATACCCCTCTCTAAATATGTCCCTGAGTCTAACTCTCAGAAGTTCACTCGTTTAAAACGGGTTTATTTTCGTTTTTTAACATTTTTACAGTCCTAGGCCCTAGTGACATGCTGAACATTTTTATACTTTAGGCAAAACAAACAAATTTGAAACCCACTCGCTCAAAGCATGGATTTGTATGTGTTCTCGCAATAAAGTCATATGAAAAAATTGTTTTTTTTTTCCAACAACCTATTTTCTGTTTTTTTGTTCTTTATTCATCCTCATCGATGCCTTCTATGCATGTAAAAAGTCCTATTGTGATTAATATTTTTTTTTTTTCAATGTTCGACATACTTCACATTTTAAATATTATAACGAACAGCATGAATCATAAATTATTCATCAGCAGTATCTACATCAAACTAAAAATTAATATTATCAAAGTATGCTACCCATCTTGTTGTCTTGATCTATTTATATAAATTGATAAACAAGTTGACAATTTATTAATATCGCGTGTGGGAAATTGTAGATTATTGATTTGTTGATCAATTTTAGTTTCATAATTAAGATTATGGTTTTGATGATAAAGATGTTTTTGCAGCATTATATTATGGATCTCTTGTTAAGTATGTTGTTAACTATGTGTTTTTCTTCGTCATTTCATTAATTTATTCTTAGTTATAATTTTTGTTTAGAACTACAAACTGTTATAATTATGTCTATACAAATATGTAACTAAGAGAAGTACAAAAAAGATATTATAATAAACAGTTTATAAATTTGCAGGATCTGTATTTATTGCTGACAAATTTGTATACTGTTGAAAACAGATTAAAACATGTTTCTTTCAGTGACTTACATATTTTAATATCTTCAATTACCAAATTTTAACACTTAAAGTGCTTACTCACTAAAGGAATTAAAAGGGTACCTACAAAAGTTTATTTTTTCTTTGTTAGTGGATAAATATCAAATGTTTAATCAAAAATTCAATAAGTATTCGACACAGAATATTGTGCACTGCCAGAGTGAGATAATGCATAACTGATAAGAACACTAAAGTGATCAATAAATTATTTATTTTTAGACATTTTGTCTATACTGTGAATTTTGTCTATAACAGTAACAGCTGCTATTGCTACTAAAAAGTAGCTAATTGCTGTTACTACTAATATGTAGCAGTAAAAGGGTGGGTCATCAGTCACTGCTGTTTTTATGAGAGTAACAGTCTACAATAATAATCGTTACTTTGAAATCAATAGTGAAAAATCACTGTTACTGCCATTTCGTATTTATGCTATCATTAGTAATAATTACTGTACTGGTGGTGGAATTTAGTGATGAATCAATGTTAGTTTCTGGGAATAAGGTATAAGCAAATGTAAATTACAAACTGAACAATCTGAACAACTTTAATAATTGGTATGTTCGCTGAAGAAAATTACAAAATTAAATTAAATAGTTAGTAGGAAATTATTAATTTATTATGGACTTGTCGAGAAAATAATTTGATTTAAAATCATTATTTAAATAAAGTCAAGTTAGTAAGAAGTTTTCTACTAGGTTGAAACTGAAATACACAACTTGGTACATATAATAATATTAGATTAGATTGAAGAACGAACATCATATATAGATTATAATATTATATATAACGAGCATCTCATGGAGATCTCGTAGTTCATTTTCATAAATTGAACATTTTTTAAATTTCCAGTACCAAAATTGTTTAAGTAGTATTTATTTTAATAATAATAAATTTGTATGGTTTTATTTCAGTCGATTATCGAGTGAGGCCTTTAGTGTTAACTGTTAAGTTGTGGGCATCATATCACAACATTAACGATCCAAAGAAAATGACACTGTCCAGTTATTCGTTGGTGCTGATGGTCATAAATTTTTTGCAATGTAAGTATATAATTATAGTCAAGGTTTGTTGTTAATTATCCTATTATTTGTATTAAAAAAAAAAAGGGTAATAATAAAACAACGTTTTTCTAAAATTTGATAAAATAGCATATTTCATTTTACCCTCATTATATATAACATTTTAATTTAGTATTAAAATTAATTTTTTTATTTTCATCTTATAAACATCTAACCATTAATTATATATTATAGATCTATAATCAATGGTATAAATTAGCAAATTTAAATTCAGTTAGGATAAAATTGTACTATAAGGCTTAATATTAGTGTGAATTGACTCATTCTTAAAATTGAAGATAAAAACATTATCTATGCAACATTGACCCTGTGATTTTTGTTGATATTTTAGGTTTTAAGAGAGATTATGTAAAATATCACAATTTAATAATGCTTGTATCTCGCTTGAAAATTAAAATATTTATAAAAATAACATCAATATGGGACAGATAATGTTTTTATCTTGAAATTTGATGATAGATCAATTCACACTAATATCAATATTAGCAGCACAAAGTTGTCCCTGCTGAACACAAATTTGCTATGTTTTATGTGTGTTAGTCGGAGACAGCGCATACTGGTATCATATCCTCTGAAATATTTAATCAATGGATCAATGGAAATTAAATTAATTAAAAAAAAATATTTAACAAACTTTTTTTTAATATGATATATATATATATACATTTTTTTTTCTTGCTTTAAACTAATAATAGATATTTTCAATTGTTATTCATAATTTACCTTATTATCTGATAATAACCAAACCATGATTATTTTAAACTATAAAACCTATAGGCCTTATTTAGGCAGAAAATAACAGAGTAGGTATAAATATATAGTATATCTAATACATACCTGTATTCTTGTATTATATAAATTCTAATTCAGCTTAATTCTACTTTGCAGGTATTCAACCGCCCGTGTTGCCATCTCTGCAGTGTATTTATGGAATGAAGTTTTCGGCAGAAACCAATATTGAATTTGTGCATATGCATGAACAGTTGCCTCGTAGTAGTTGGAAAAGCGATAACCAACAGACACTCAGCGAGCTATTGTTGCAGTTTTTTGAACACTATAACAATTTCAAGTGAATATAATATTAATTTAATAACGTGTATTGTTATACATAATTTTTAAATGCTGTAATATTACAAGAATATTTAATTTGTTAGTTTTTAATGGTTGATATTTCACGGTATAAATAATAAAACAGTTTAATAAAGTTTTTTTTATAATAATAATAATTATTATTATAGTTACTACATGAATGCGGTGTCTGTTAGAACGGGAAGGCAAATCCCGCTGGAACACTGTCGGATGGCTTTAACAATAAAAAATGATCCAGGACAATGGAAATTTATAGGAATCGAAGGTATGTTAAATGTTATGTTATTATAATTAATATTATAACCACAGGTTTCTTGAAAATTATCATCTCTTGGTTAATGGAAATATTTTAGTGTGTTTACTCCCTTAAAGTGTGTTTATATTATATTAAATATTTTTTACAAAATTATATAACATTGGTAACATTTTGAATTTGTGTTCAATTGAGCTGTTTGATTACTATTTTAATATTACATCAATGAAAATACTATATTCCTTTGATTATCAAAAAATAATAATTAAAGAAAAAGAAATTTAAACTCTATTATATGTCGTAGTGTTGTCGGGTAGTTAGGATACATAAAGTAATTTGAAATTTATATCTGTACCTAATGATAAATCATATCTAATGAAAATCAATTCTGAATAAATTTCGATTAAATATGTTTTGAAATAGTTTTTGAGATTTTACAAATAGATGTTAGATGTTGGACAAAAAACTGCATTACCCTGAACATTTTTAAATTTTTTTACTGTCAATTATAACATATGATAAACCTCTTGTGTCATACTTTTAAGAATTTCTTTTGACCAAAATAATTTTATCCACATAAAACAAAATTTTAAACAAAAAAAGTCGAAAATTTAAAATGATTTTAAATAGTTCTTTCACCAGAATGTTTGACATTTTTACCACGTTAAGTAAATAGTATAAGTATTCTATGAAAAATAAATGCTGGTCTCTACAATTACTTTTTACCGAATCGCAACAAAATTATCTCCCTAATGCATTAACTAGAAAAAAAATTACTTTTAGAAACGATGATACACTTGATGTTCGGAGCAAGATTTCTAGTAGAAAAGTTGTTCACGAATGGAAAAAGAACACATCATACTTAAACCAATACATTCCTCATTCTGCTTAGAATCTAAAAAAATTGAGACGAGTTACATCTGAGACTGGTGTGCTTATTTACAGTTTAGTATTATGTGTACATAGGTACTATATTCAGTAAATTTTGCTGAAGTAGCATACAGCAACATCCAATTTATTCTACTCTATTTAGATATTGAACTGTTTAAAGAAAGAAAAAAAATTTACAATTATATTGTTATTTGTTATATAGGTAAATTTGCTTACCTATATATTTGTTTTTATTATATTTTATTTGTATACTATGGTTCTTACGATAAAAAAACATTTTTATATATTTGTTTAAAAATATTACAAATATAATGCTATCACTTCAAATTTGAGCTTATGATGTCATTGATATTGTTATTTTATTCATTAATATTTATTATTATATACATGTACTTTTACTTTTTTTAGAACCTTTCGAGAGAACAAACACAGCAAGGTCTGTCCACAACCACAATATATTTGAACAAATCAAAGAAGTCATACGGAAAAGTTACAATAAATTAAAAGAAACTAAATCATTGGATTCAATATTTTGTCAATTTGAAAAATAACAAAATCAAAACAAAACAAACAAAAAAACTATTAAAATTACAAAAGAACAAAAAAAAATAAATTATAATTCATATACATAATCTGAATAAAAGAGGAATAAGAAAACTTCGAGTGATACATTCTGACTTGGTGTATATAGCATAATGAGGTTCCTTTTTATGGAGCGAAAACTCAGGAAATTCGTAATTCATTAATAATTAAATCATACGAAAAAGTGTATAATAATGTTGTTAGCAATTATGAAAAATGTTTAAAAAAAAAAAAAAAAAATTGAATTTAGCTTTTAAGAAATTAATTTATTATTATATATTGTTGAAATTATATTTAGAAAAACAACTATGCACTCCTTAATTGATGAACAAAGCTTTTTATCTTATTGCTGTTCTCATTATAATAAATATGAATAATAAAATTTGTAAGAGCATAGAAATTGAAAACGTTTTTAGGCCAAATTCAGTATTTAATTTACCATTGTGTTGACTATGATTTTGAATTATACATAGATTTAAAACTATTAAGTTAAAATATTTATACATAATGTTCATGTCTGATTAAATAAATAATTTGTTGACATTATATTGAATGAAATCGTACCACAAATAATCATTATTATTATATTCTTTATACACAATCATTTAATTTTTCAAGAATTGTATTGAAATTAATGACAATATACTCTATTTTAAATAAGAAGTCACAAGTTTGAGTATTCATGAGTATTTGAACGTTGTCAGATTGGCAAAAATTGGCTAACGTGTTTTCATCTGTCATTCAGTGCTTTTTCAGTCTAGAATATAATTATTATTTATTACTTATCAATACAGATAATAACATGTTTTTCGTAATACAAATTGGTAGTTTTTTGTTAAGTTAGAATATGTAGATTATCATTGAATGTAGTCTTATATGATTATGCTGAAGCCATATTTTTTTATGGATGTTGTAGCTGTGTATAATGTATATAAATAGTAAAGTTTAAATATTTAAAACATTAAAAACAGAATATTATTACAATATTATGTTGTACTCCTTGTTGTTATTATTTACTGATGTAATTGTATTTTGATAGAGCTTATAAGTCGCACAACACGATTGGCTGGCAGAAAGCAGCCGAACCTAGTTAAAAATAATACAATTCGTTTTTTTAATAATATTTTATACAATTTGTTTTACTTAAATGATTATTTATATTATGTGTGTGTACATACAAATTACTAACTAACTTAGGTATCACTGTAGGTAGTATATTATTTATTAAATAGTGATTTTCACGGTTTGTATTTTAACATCTAATTAATGTTTCCTAATATTGAGCACGTAATATAATATACATAATAATAAGACATTTCTAAATTTTTTGTTCACATTAATAACATAAACTTGCATTTAAAGAAGTAGATGTCAGACAATCAGACATAGTACAGTTTTATTTCCTAGAGTTTTAATTTTATTATTTGTAAGGCCAATTTTGGGTAGTATTACCAAAGTAATACCACCAGTATGTTATTAATAGATTTTAAAAATGGAAACTTCATTCAATGAGGGTGGGTAGCTATATTAAACAAAAAAAAAAAATGTATAATTCGTTAAAAATTCTTCCGGGATCATACATATTCTACAAATATATTTCAAATTGACAAAAAAAAAATTATGTAATGTTTATCTTTTATTTTTTTTATTTTGAAAATTGTATACATTTTGCGTGTAATTTATACATTATTAAATACAATTTTATGTAAAATACATACCTCAGTAAGTACTAAGTACCTATTTTATTTATACAGCATTCTTAGAAATATTGATATCTTTATCTGATAACCTCTATAATAAGATTAATATTTACTTTAATATAGGTACAAATATTACTAAGAATAATCGGTACTATAAGTTTGAGTACTTAAAATATTAATATTACTAAATAGCATAACTTTTCTGACACAATTTTTTGTACCTAACAGTAAAGCTGAGCACCTACTACCTTATATTTGATATAAATAACTAATAAATAATTAAAATTTATTTTAAAGTATTCGACATTAAACATAAATTAATGTCAAATATTTATAAAAATAAAACACTTATTGGATTTTATCTTATTCATTGTTTGTATTATAATTTTAAGAAAATGTTATTATAATAATATACGTCGTATAGAAATAATACCGTCAAAGTTATTGTGCAATATTAATTGCACATAGATAAAAAAGTAGTCACATCAGTAGGTACCTAATAATTTTTATCAAGTATCTACCAGATAAATACAGACATTTCCTAGGATCTATTGCCCATTGTTTTTAGAACCGAGAACTTAACCGGAGTAGGTAGGTACTCAAGTACTTTTGATCTTCCACTGGCAATCCTCACATTCTCAATCGCTTCCAACAACTTTTTCGATTTTCCTAGTTATCTTTCTAGTTTATTTTAATTACAATTCTTACTGTTTCAGATTCCTTTATTCCTGTGATATGCCAAAACCATCTCAGTATAGGTGCGAGTAAGGGGTTGCTAGGGGTTTTTTAGCACGCCCAAAAATACCCAATAAGATTACTTATAGGATAGACTAAATATTTTACCAATATATTCCATAATTATAAGTAGAACAAAATACAGGTTACCTAGAGACAATGCATGTGTGTATAAAAAATATAGTTAAAAAAGTACAGCAAACTGTAATCGCATTTGTTAATTGATTAATATTATTATGGCTAATTTATTGACTACAATTCTTTTCTCTGAACTTTAAAAAATAATTAAAAAATCAAGAATTCGATAAAAATAAAATATTAATACATCAAAATTTTTAGAAGAATAAACTCTATAAAATGATCATTTTCAGAAATAATAAAATAAAAAGTTATTTTTAAGTTTTTTCCCAAAACATACAAAATCAAGGCGCTGAGTAAAAAAATAGAATTTGATTATTTTTATTATTTTCGGAGCGATATTACAATGGGTATAACCAGGTGATCCATTTAAGTGGGTACACTCATTATCTCGAAAAATATTCACTTTTTAGGAATTGGTTTTCTAGAAAATTTAAGAAATAAGCAGCTCTATAATTTTATATTTATGTTATTTTATGTCAACCTTATTTTTTGGGTGTAAAACCATTACTCACTATTGATTTTCAAATGGCAGCATATGTTAAAAATTCCATAAATAGATGGAGTACATATTAGTTAAAATAAATTTTAGTGTTGAAATTTCTGTTTTCCATTGACTTGTTGACAAGATATTCCACTATGAGTTTTGGCGGGAGGAGAGTAGTGGAACACTAATAAAACGGTTGGAGGAGAATAGTGGAGTACCATTTATGTGGCGGTACGGCACGTGACACATTAATAATGCACCGCTATTCTCCTCCAATCTAAATTTAAAAGTGGAATATCTCGTCAACGGATCGACGGAAATCAAAAATGTTAACACTAAAATGTATTTTAACTAATACTATCCATCTATCTATGAACTTTTCAATAGAGGTTGCCGTTTGAAAATCAAACGTGGATAGTGGTATTATCCCCGAAAATAATGGTGATAAAAAATAACACAAATACAAAATTGTAGAGCAGTTGGTTTCTCAAATGTTCTAGAAAACAAATTCCGAAAAAAATTAACACTCTCCGTGATAATGAGTGTACCCGCTCGAATGGTTCACGTGGTATTTTCAATGGAAACCGTGTGTATTATTATTTTTGACAATATATTGCTTTGGGGATTTATTTTCCTAGGGATTCGTATTCCGGGGATATTTTTCCCGGTATTCCGCCCAACAATCCGAAACAAACAACATAACCCACGTGTAGTCAATCTCCCTACACTCTGGCGGGTGTTTCGGATTATAACCCAAACTCCCATCACGGCTGTATCTAGCCAAAAATTTATAGGTAGGTAGGTAGGTACTATAAATGCTTCTGGTTTTTTTTTTTTTTTCTTTAGAAAATGTAGTCGATTCTATTGAAAACTTTGGGGTCGAGGGATGGGTTGAACCCCCGAAACCACCCCTCAGATACGCGGCCTTGTACGCAGGTACACATAGCTGGATGGTTAAATTGGCAGTTCACTATCATGTCGACCACCCACGTAGGTAATATGTTGTTATCGTTTACGAATAAAACGTCTAGACAATAATCCGAACGTTCATAATTTTTCAGTCGTGAATTCCGCGCACACGCGTAACCCCGCGGCACGTTTATCGGCGATGAAAAAAAAATATTATCCGCAATCGTCGTAATGATCGCTCAGGTTGATGTGCGGGTCTTACCTGAAAACAGTCGTACGCGCCTTCCTGTTTTTTTTTTTTTTTTTTTTTTTTTCTGCAATTTAAGAGTACTCGGTGACCGAACGCAGATAGTGACGGTCTACCTCGTACGTCTATCTGTAGTACGTTCTATCTGTAGGTGCCCACTCGACAGTCGTTTCCTGGTTTCGACCAAACACTCGAGCGAGTACCGAGCCGCGTCGCGTGTCGGCGAATAACGTTTGGCGTTTTGTTATCATAGGCCAAAAAAAACAAATAACGCGGCCGCTTATCATCGCCGTTATCGGTTTGTATGTTTTGCAGTAAACTTGGTTATCTTCATTCGTGCCATCGTGTTTCGGTAGTTTTCACCGACTAATATTATTTTCATTTCAATTATTCGTAATCGATCTATGGCTTTGTGCCGCAGTGCTGCGAACCGATTAACTCACTGTTCGGACAACAAAACGGTTTATTAATTTATTACGACTGTTTTTTATTATTATTTTTTTTAATTTCACTCTTGTTCGGACCAATCGTGCAGTGGTACATCCGGTAAAATAATTTCAATTCTGGACGAAAAATCGTATACGCTGACGGTGTATTCTCATAAAAATATAATGACCGTCGATAGAGACAAAACTGACTATTTGTCCGAATTCAAATGGTTGCAAAAATATGCTCCTTCGTTTCCAGTAAAAGCCGAAAACGTAAGTACCTACACCGGTTGACGTCAAAATACCAAACATATTACTATTTAATATGTATTTGAAATTGTGCATGTTTAGATCAAGACACTGAAGAGCCCTACAGAGTTTTATCAGACACTTTTGCATCGGTGTATATCCGCAAAACGGCGCATCGTGATAGCTTCTTTATACTTGGGTACAGGCAAACTGGAAGAAGAACTCGTGAGTTGCTTTACGATAGTGGAATGTGTTTGCTGCAAGGCATACTCAAACTGACATTGATTTCAGGTAGACACAATAAAGCAGTCGTTGGACGAAAAACAAAACCTACATGTTAGGATTTTATTGGATGCAAATCGTGGGTCAAGAGGTGAAGTCAGTTCACGTACAATGTTAATGCCCTTACTAAATACATTGTATGATTGTCGTGTAGGTAATTACAATTGAATACAATTTGCTCGTGTTACCTATTATATTTATTTCATTTTAGGTATATTTGTATCATACTCCAAAATTGAGAGGTCTTCTCCGGTGGATATTACCTGAAAGATACAATGAATTAATAGGAATACAACATATGAAATTATACATGTTTGATGACTCTATAATTATCAGCGGAGCTAATTTAAGTCACGATTACTTTACAAACAGGTGAATACGTTAGAAATGATCAAATCAATGCTGAGTATGCGTGGCGATTATATTTTATTAATATTTATCAGTAGTATGTGATTATATATAAAGTTAAATAAGTATTGAATAATGAAGTTTTCTTGTGATGTATTTAAGGTACATTTTTAACAACTATAAATAAGAATTATATTCTTAAACTTAAAGATTTATTACTAAAACATTGCACATATCTAAATGTAATATCATTTCTCATCTGAATTTCAAAAAAATTAAATTATTGGTAATTTATTTTAATTACTAGTATTAGGTTATATTTTATACTACCTATTCAACACATGAAACTTAAAATTAAGGTATAGTCAAATTGAATTATATTTTTTAAGGTAGAAAATTTAGTTATAGAAACAATGTTTAAAGTAAACCATTAGACACGTTGCCAAAACAGCCAAGTATCCATGATTCAAACTAGAAATGTATTATGTGAATAGTCATCAACGGTCCTGCCGGTTGTTTATCTTTTTTGTCCATGACCAGCATAAATAATTTATGGTGGCCAGAAACCATTTTGGTTGTTTAAGCAACACGTCTAATAGAAATTATGTTATTGATTTATTGCAATAACTATATTGGTAATGATTATATTTATACACAAAAGTGAATTGATATTTATTGTAATTTACTAAACCAAATAAAATAAATTTGAAATTGATCATTTGAATTATAAGAAATTATGTAGTACTTAATAATATATTTTTTTAAATTTATTTGATAAAACATTATAAAAAGTTTTAAACAAAATTAAACAAATTGTATATAAAAATATGGTATTATGTGTAATTTAAATTGAATTAAGTAATAATTTAAATTAAAAATGAATTAAACAGTTGTGTTTAAAATATTGAGCCCTGATTTTATGTCTTGAATCCTTAATATTTTTCAATTTTTAAAATTGTTAATTATAAAATGTTCGGTTACTATTTGTTACTGAACACAGGACATATAAATGATAATAAAGTCAAATTGCTACGCATACCACAATCACTAATGTATTTATTTAGACACTCTTAATACATTTTTGAAAAGTGTATGTATATTTAAATAGTTTTATCTCAATTTAATCATTTTACGTGTAATAAATGAACAAATAATATTATTATTTTAAAATTATTTCCAGACAGGACAGATATGTTCTTATTGAAAACTGTCCGTCATTAGTCAATTTTTATATTGGATTAGTTGAATTATTAGGACGGATGTCCTTTCAGTTAACAAATAAAAATAATTTAACATTGGATCCTACGTGGAAACTTCATCCTTACCAAAGCTCTTATCAAACTTATGCTTCAGAGGCCAGACGAATATTGATAAAATATTATGATACTTTTATGAAGCATTCTATTTCAGAAAATGGTAAATAAATTTGATGTCTTGGTGAAAATGTTGGGAACAGATAAATGTTATAAATACAAAAAATGAAGTACTTAAAGAAAATTTGAAATCACTGTAATTCTTATAAATTTTCATAAATTTTCTCATTTTCTTATGTTTGTTCTAATTATTAAGTATTTAAGAAAACTACTAGGAATATCAAAAAATGATCCAATACACCAACTAGATCACATTTCTACCAAAAACCATCCCTAAAGTTGATCATGAAAGCAAAATTTTTTGTAGAAAAGTTGTTTACAATCAATAATAAATAACTTGGTAAAACCAATACATTTATTACATTGGTTAGAATTGGCTATAAATTCACTATGGTGGTTATAACAAATAATATTGTATTTTTTTTCACCTATTTTTGTATTTACGACATTGTCATCATAATATTTTGATTTGGATTTGGTAAATTTCAATATTTTAATGTACTGTTATTTTTAATACCTAATCAATTGTTTTCATATTAATGTTTTAGACACGGATACAATAGTTTATCCTTTAATAGAATTCCCCCCTTTCCAAATTAATCAAGACAGTAAAACGACTAATCTTCTTATGGGTAATGCTGAAGCTGGATCCACCATGTACATGGCCACTGGATATTTCAATATACCGGACCTTTACACAAAAACAATTTTTCACAAATCATTGGCCAACTTCAATATATTGTTTTCCCATCCGATGGCCAATTCATTTCAAGAAGCTAAAGGACCTGCTGGGTTTATACCTACTGCTTACAGTTGTCTTACAAACAGTTTTTATAGTAAAATCGAAACTCTCAAACTTCAGGAACGTATTACTTGTCATGAATATAAAAGGTTTGGATGGACATTTCATTCCAAAGGTTTATGGTATACTCCAAAAAATTATGAATTGCCAGTATTGACTGCAGTTGGGTCATCGAATTATGGTACATATATGTTTGAGAAATTTATTTTTCCTTCAAATTTTCCATTATGAATGGTTTAAATAGTTTTGAAAAAAAAAAAAACCAGAACACCATAATTTTGGAAAATAAAAATTTAAAATATAAATATTTGGAAAATAATTTTGTAAGAAAATAAATGAGGCAAATTTATCAAATTTCACTGCATAAATGTAAATGAAAATAAAATCAATCTGTGATAGAATTTTGATATTTTAACTTACTAAAATTGTATTTTCCAAACTGTTATTTTTCATTAAATTATTTGTTTATACTTTTATTGCTCATTAATTTATTTTATGCTAAATCATTTTCCAAGATTCTATAGCCCTCCAATATTTTATTAATTATAATTCATTTATAGTATTATAAAATATTTTAATAAATGGAATTTTTTTCTATGTTTAGGAGCCAGATCATTGAACTGCGATTTAGAATCACAATTAATAATCGTAACAAATAATACAAAATTACAGCAGAGCTTCCATACAGAAAAAAGTGATATTTTTAAATCTGCATCATTGTATTCTATTGAAGGCGATGCACTCAAAACACCCTTTTGGGTACGGTTTGTTTTAAGAATGTTTAAAAATTATTTTTAAAAATGTTTAGTACATATAAATTGTTTCTAGTCGATTATTAAAGCAATAATGAATATTATAATTGGATATTGTGTTTGCAATTATTGTAGATATAATACTATTTATTTTTTTATTGTCAAACCTCAGGCTGTAATACACTTGAAAACAAATATAATAATAATTAATATGTTATTCAAACGTGTATTTAAATATAAAAAAAAAAAAGTGTCTTCATATACATCAATAGGTGACATGACATGAATACAGAGTAGTTAGTACATTTTAATTTTAATATTTATTTTTTGTTTGTTTTATTTTAAACACTATGTTTCTAGAGAAAAGGTATCAACAAGGTCATTTATGTTTTTAATGTCGCGCTTTAGAATAATGTATACTTTTATACGTATTAAATAGCTCATTAAATTGCTCATATCCACAGAAGAACATAACATTTGTATCTAGACTTTTTCCATTATTTTTTTTGAATTCTAGTTTAGATTCTTATAAGGCCATAGCTGAACCAACTTTTCAAAGGAGTGGGTTAGATTAAATAATCTATTATTTCTGCAAATATTATAGGCACAGGCTGCAATGGTTATACTTTCATTTTTTTTATCCATTCCCTAGATAGAGCTTTGCGTACACACAAAATATACTTTGTCATCAATATATTATATACTATTATACACACAGTGACAAGCTATGAATGTTTGTGGTACACGTCCAGAAAAGATTAAATTTTATTTAACAAAAACATTTATTGTGATATGTAATAATTAACATGTATCTATATCGTACCCATATACTGTACGGTTATTGACACGTTTTAATCAATAGTTTTTATTATTATAAAATAATCGCATTATTGCTCAATGTTTTTGTACGAACATAGATTGTATGTTTATGGTTTAGTATGTTTATATGTTACACCTACTCAAAATTGTTAATCATAAATTCGGACGTATATTTCCATATAGAACAAAATAATGTAATATGATTTAATGTCTAATCAATCGTCTATTTTTTTTATTGGTTTCCTCGTCAGTTTAGTTCTATATATATATATATATATAATTACATTAATAATATGTAATTTTAATTTTTGTGTTAGTTTGTTACAAACTCATTTATTTTACGAGAAAACATTCAATACTACGAACAAATATTTATGATAATTATTGTTACGATACCGATTATGCCTAATCGTCAAGCCTGTAAATTAGTTATGCAACGGTTTAATTGTTTTAATCTAACTTCATTACTCCCCTGAGGATGTATACATTTATTAGTCATAATCTAACTCGTAAATAATGTAATAAAATAGATTAGGTGTGAAAACCGTGTCGACCCAGTGATTGTCTGACTAGAAAATGTTTTACGTCCCCAATAACCGAAAACGTATTATTTTTATTTACGCGACAAATATGGCGTTAAATATATTTAAAATTTAATCAATGATAACATTACTGCGATAGCTACGCCAAAAGCAGTTTTTTTTTTTTTTTTTGTTTCGTTTATAATCATAAAATCTTACTGTTTGAGTATTAATGACTGACGGAGCGAATTTGGATTTACGCGTTTAAAAAACCGTTTTCTTTCATTGAGCGTGTTGATTGTGAACGTTTTAACATCGGAGTTCTAGTTCTAGTGTACGTCAGATTACGGTCGAACCGAAAACGCTACAGTCGTGCTTGTTGTGCGAACGTGTTACGAGGAAGAAAACAAAAAAAAAATTCTACACTCGGCAAATGCAATTGTTCAATTATTGTTTCGATTGCACTTATAATTATCTGGAAACTGTTGTAATTATACGCGCGTAGTCGTTAACCGTGTTTCAAACGGCAATCGAAACGGCCCGTAATTGAATTATTATGAGTACGCGACTCGCGTTCGAACGTAATGTTATTATTAAATCTGGTCGGCCGGCCCGCGCACGACACGGTTACGATGTTTTTATCTTCCCGCCGCCAATTTGGACGGCCGATTTTAGGTGTAAAGCGACGCGAATCGGCAGTCGGCTGTCGACGAACCTGTCCGGGCGCACTGCAGCAACTTTCAACCCGCGAAATCGCGAACCGAGAGTTGTTCGTGAAAACCAACGAATGCCATCGTCGCGGGGTGCGCAATTCCGACCGGTCCGACGTCAACCTAAAACCCGGTCGGTACCGCGGGCGACCCGCTTTACGCCGGACCCGGCGCCCCCGAGGTTTTTGAGGAGCCCGACCCGGCCGAAACGCGGTGGCTGCGGGACTGGCGCGATGTGTTCGTAAAGCCGATCCGCCGTACGCGAACGACGGGGAGCGAGAAAGGCACGGGGGCCCGGCGTTCGCTCCGGAGACCCCGGACCGGCGGCGGCTCGCGGTCGTCGCCCCGGCACCGCGGCCGCCCGCAAGCAGCGTCCGGCGCCGAGACGCGGACGGTCGGCCGCAAAACCCCCGGGGACCGGTCGGTCGCGCGCTCGGGGAGCGTGTCACCCGTTACGTTCGCCCGTCCGTTTACCGGCGGCGCCAATGGCCGCGTTGCCCGCGCGACGTTGTCCGAAGACGTACGCGCGCCGCAGTTACGGAACCGGCGGCGGACCGCGAGACGTTCGGACGGCGAATGGCCGCGCGCGTTTTCGAAACGATCGCCGTTCGTCCGTTCGCAGCGGAACGGGTACCCGAATAGAATGTCGCGTGGCACGGTCACGAAATCGCGCCCGTACGCGCGGCGGAACTCCCGTTTCGACTTTACGCGTGGTTTTATTTCCCTCTCTGTCTCCAGCGTACGCGCGCTCACAGAACTGCCGGGAGCCCTCGTTGCGAAACCTCGGCGCTAAATCCGAAACGCCGCGATCGACCGTATTGCCATTCAGACAATTAGGCGGGCATTTAAACTCGGCCCCCGCGTACCGGGGGAAAACAATCGCGGTGCCGACCAGAGTTGCGCGCGCGGGAAGTAAACGCGATTCACGCCCGTGAATAGGAACGTTTTTTTTTTTTTCTTTTTTTTTCTCTACCGTTTCTAAATAGAAACGCTAATTATTGACGTCGTTATAGCGCCGCTGAAATAATCGTTACGTCCGTATTGTCGTCCGAAATGAGATTTCACGCGCCGGTTTTGTTTGTAATTGTGTTTTTTTTTTCCTCGTCCGAACACGATAAGAATATATACAAATTTACCGAGATAAATAGAAGACAAAAAAAAAAAAAAAAAAACTTCGCCGGAAAAAACAACCGAGTTTTGTTGTTATAAAAACCAGCCGCGACACGCGTTCGAACGCAGGCACATTCCTGTGTCCGCTCGAGAGTTTCGCCGAGTTATACGTAATTTCATCTGAAATAATATTATCGATTCATTGTATTACAAAGTCTACACCGTTGTTTTTTTTTTTTTATATATATTTTTTTATTTTGAACATATTTTCGATAAATAAAGGTAAGACAACATTCTGATATCAATACTTTATGCGTTACGTAGGGCACCTACAACAACGGACAACGTTCTGACGTAAACGCGCGCGACACATTTCAATCTATGTGCACAACCAGTTAGGTGGGTACGTCACGTCCAAATTTGTTCAATGTACAGTGGATAAGAAAAAATGCCTTTTTTTTTCGTTAACACACTCTTTTAAAATATCAAAAATGTTATCATAATTGTTGGAATCCAATAAGCCGAATGAATGTGTATCTTGCAGAGTAAGAACCGTTTAAATATTCTGGTTAATATCCATTTCATTGCGATTGCAATTTGCGGTATTTTCTATGTTCATTTTCGCTGTACTACATTCATCACTCAACAAAATTCCCCGTCAGCTCTAATAAACCCCTACAATATCTTTTAACGCTCAATCGATCATCTTCTCACAAATAACTCCCATGGGAGTATTATGCGTAACACATCGGCGCACTACCTATCGGCTCTTTTTTTTTTTTTTTTTTTCAAATGAGGAAATTTTCAATCCTCTTGAATATCGTATAAGAAAATTCCAAATTTTAAAAGTCACAGAACCGACTTGACGGACACGGAAATTCGCCCGATACCACCCAGACGTGTACAATGTATAATGCCATATAATACGAGTAGGTATCACGGGTGCGATCTGTTGGTGTTCGGCCGAAACACGGCAGCAAAACAAAAACCGTCTCCATTACACTCTCGCGTGTATGCACTTACTGAGATTATTGTATTTATGTATATATTTTTGTTTGTAATCGTGTGTATGTAAGGGTACGGGTTACATCGTACTAATGTTTTTAATTTACGGCATTCATGATTTTGTTTTTACGTTGTAATTCGGTTAAAAAAAAAAAAATCAGAATCTTACAATTTTCTAAATACTTAAATCCACAGAGTATCTACAGAATTGAAATGTCTATAAATAGCTCAAGTGATTTAAAAATTTGACCACGTACATGAAAGGTAAATAGGAAGTTTTCTGTTGAAATTTCATGTGTACGAATATTTTAATCTGAATCACTTGAAAATAACAAAACTTAAAATATAATAAAAAAATTATTTCCTTAAATTTTCCCGTTAATTCTACGTAATTTTCGGTTTTATAATTTAGTTTAGCGTTTCCATCAACTAAATTGTAATTTATCAGTTTTCATTAAAATCGTAAACACTGAATTTCAATCAGGAACTTGATATTTTTTGATTTGTTTATTTTGAGTATTTAAACCAGTCAGACCATTTTGGCTAACCTATCGTAGTGCCAGTATCGTAACGAGCACGCGATGCCGACTTCGACGACAGTCATCGCATTGACGGTGGCCGCGGCGATGACCGCCGTCCGGACCGTCCACGGCCTCGACAACGGATTGGCTCTGACGCCACCAATGGGATGGCTGGCTTGGCAGAGGTTCCGGTGTATCACGGACTGCAAAACGTATCCAGATGAATGCATCAGGTACGATTATACAGATGTCGATTGCACAGGCGTGACTAGAGCCCAAATATCGGGTGTGCTTAAATTGTGTAATGCTCACTGACCCGCGGGGTCCATACACACACCCTAAAATACCTTTCCCCAATCTAGTAATAATTATATTATTAATACACCTAAATACACAGTAAACACACACACACACACACACGCGTGCGCTAATGTTTTTATTACAGCTCTTTCTATGTTTAGTATAGAAAGATTGGTAAATAGCGGTTGTTCCATACTGGCCCTTAGCCAGTTTTTTAAACATTACATCGATGTTGAGCGTTAATATCGTTGTGTAACCATTTACCATTCTGTTTATAACGGTGGGTCTTACTGTTATAGCAAATTTGCGAGCAGCAAACGTTTTACACGTTGTTTGGCAACAGAGAAATTCGGCGTGTCTTTATTTTAGCTAAATAGCGTTGTTGATTAAGTAAAATTTACTTTAAACTAACTAAATCGGTGATATTGTATTTCAACCGTACAGACGTTTTGAACGTGAACTATGAAACATTTTGAATGGTTTTCGCTCGCGAACTTGTTCATGGCTACATCTTTTTGATAACCAAGTGGTTTGTTTTCGATGGAAAAGACACACGGACATAGACGCCAGGTTTTGAAAATGTCAACGGGGGCCGAATTTACTACTTTTTAGCCTTAACTTTTGCCCTTCAAAATAATTTAAATATATGGTTAAAGAGTAGACAGACGCAGGAAGGGGCGGAGTATTTATGTTCAAATTTTTAACTGTCTCCTTTAACATTTTGTTTGCAATAAATAACTATGCGACAGGGGAACGCTCAACATTTTTCAATAATAACGGTTCCCTCTCAGATTTTTCGTCACTTAAAGTCCTAGTTTAAACTGGTTCAAATGTGTAAAATATATATTTCGTTATACTCGCATAAAATAACTGTTTTTTTTTCTGTCTATTCAATTTCCGTAGACGTCTGCAAGGCGTTGAATTTGTTTGCAGCGTTAAGTTATAATTGCGACAACGTTGTGAATATTTATTAAAATTTCGAGCGACATTGCATAGTATGTATTTTATTATTTTTAGTGTAAGCGCTAAGAACTAATTAACTATTATAATTACGTAGAGTATTGATATAATACAGCAAATTAAATTATAATAAAATATAGTGAATTTTCTTGTAATAGATTATTTTAGATCAAGCTATGAAGTTTTTTTTTGAAAAAAAAAAAAAAAATAATAATATTTCATAGACATTTATTAAATATTAAATGTTTAAAACTTTCTTCATCTTTTTGTGACCCTGAACAATTGTCAAAACGTCGCTTACGTCCTTTCGCCTTTTAAGTTTCCAACTATAATAATACCCCCAGACACCGGGTGTTATATCACATTAAATGTTCATGTCCATCTCCGCAGCGAAAAACTGTTCATGACCGCGGCGGACCTGTTGGTCAGCGAAGGTTACGCAGACTTGGGATATAAATACGTGATCGTGGACGACTGTTGGCTGTCCGTGAATAGAACGGCTGATGGGAAGTTGCAAGCCGACCGCGACAGGTTCCCCAACGGCATCAAAGCGCTGGCCGACTACGTAAGCGTTTTCATTCACGTCAGGTCCATTACTCTTATTTATTATTTTATACATACGAGTATAGGATTTAGGGTCAAAACAAATTTAAAATATGAATTAGCTACCGATTATAAAGTATTTATAAATGTTGTGCTTGCCCAAATTACGCTTCGGGCACATTGCACAGAACCTGTAGAAGGGTTTTTTCGAAGTCGGTTCTCGAGAGATTTTCAAAAAATAAAAATTTCATATTAATTTAGAACTCTATATTTTCGTATTATATTTTAAACGTCCGTTAAAACGTGATATTTGATCATATATGAATAACTATACATTTATACAGGGTGTCCCACCCAGAAAACCAGAATTAGCTTGGAAAAGTTCGAGACCCCGTGCGGTCGCTTTTGCGAGAACTATATAAGGTATTTTTATTATTTTTTTTTTGCCTTTTCACTTTTTAATACCAAGCGTAAGTAAATATTTACAATACAATTCTCTTTAATTCACTAATTTTAATTTGTGTTTTCCTAAATAATCATGTAGAATAACTCTACCGGTATGATTTATGATAGCGACTAGACGCGGGGCCTCTAAAAGCGTGGGGCTTTGCGCGAGAGCATAACTTGCACCGCCTTCAAGCCGGCCTTGGTCCCACCGTGTTCGACGGATTTTTTTAGAGCTGTTAATATTCAATTTTTAAACATTTTTTTCAATCGGATTTTTTTTCCGGGGAGACATATGTTTAGAAAAAAATTAAACCACCGAATAATCACTAGAAAAAATAACTTCGGTTTTTTCAATTTGTAATAAATGTTATTCTAAAAATTTGAATTGAACATAAATACATATCCGATTAATAATTTTTTTTTTTAGCAATAACCATTTTAATTTCTAGAAAAAAAGGCGTGAACAAGTTGTATTCAATACAATTATCATCACCTAACACGATGGTGAATCACATTCATAATACAAATAATACAAATAATTGTCAACCGATAAAATTATTTTTACTATAAGCGGGTTTTTATTTTATTCAGTACCCATAGTAAAATATTTATTGTGTTAGAAATTTAAAATGATAGCAATTTAAACGCCTATTACTATGAGAAACTATTGATCGGTTATGTCAGAACTTCACAATTATTAGAATAATATCATTTACAAAATGGCTATCTTGAAAATTATGTAAAGTGAATAAATACAAAGACGGAGATACTTCGCATGTGGGTACAGCTACTAAAGTAGATGGGAAGTTGGGAAGGTACAGAAAGAAATTGAATGTATATCTGTAAGCAACGGTAAACCATTCCTAACGAAAAAACGATTCTGAGCGGAGTTCAGTTGATAGTGCTGCTTTGTCAACAATATATAATACGTCATATTATGGTAAAATAATTCCATATACATTAAACATTATCTTGTTTTCTCATTAAAGTATTATAAAGTTATTTTTTTTAGTGATAAGATGATGAAAATAAAAATATAATTTTTCTTGAAATATATTTATATGCACCATGTAAGAAAATTTGATTGAAAAAAAAAAAATTAAGTACTAATTGAGTTATGAAATTCTGTCGAACACGGTGGGATTCCCTGTATAGAGAAATATTGAAGGCTTCGGATTTCACTCGACTTGTACCACAATCTTTAAGACGTATTGTTTATCTAATCTCGCAGGTGCATTCGAAAGGGCTGAAATTCGGACTTTACCAAGACTGGGGAGTGAAAACGTGCGCTGGGTTTCCGGGCGTGTTTGGCTACGAAGAGACGGATGCCAAACAGTTTGCAGAGTGGGGAGTCGATTACGTGAAACTTGACGGGTGTTATTCGGACGTCAGAGACATGGATCTAGGTAACGGAGTTCAGTGTTTTAATAACATCATGTGGCCAATGCCAAATGCCAATGCCAATGCCAATGGACGTAAACGATTCTTCGAATAGTAGCAAATAGTCTGGAAACGTTAAAATTAAAAAAAAAAATTCTGACGATTGTTATATTACTTGAACAACTGAATAACTGAACTTTTAGGGGAAAATCCAGGTTTTTGCATTCATCCCTCCATATTTCTGCCGATGGTCTGGACAATATTATTATCATAGTTAACGCGGAACGAATCGCGAAATATTTTAGTTATTTATCAAAATAGGTAAACATATGTTTAAAACAAACTTTGTTAAATATTCAAATACGTTTAAGTGGAAACGAAATGGAATAATAGCGGGATAATAAGTGCATTCTAATATTATGTATAAATATTTGATAAAGTAAGGCAGAACGAGGATGACTACCGATAAAAATATTGGTATAGATGCCGGAATTCACAGGTTCCCTATAATATGATAAGATGTTTTCCGCGCTTTACAGGGTACATCGGATTCGGACAACACCTGAACAAAACCGGGAGGCCAATGGTATATTCTTGTAGCTGGCCGGCGTATCAAGAGGACAAGGGAATGAGGGTAAATAATAAAACAAATACCATACACGCGATACTGCAATACTTCCCTAAATTATCACATTATATGCTAATGGTCTGCGTATAGAGTTAAACTTACAGGTTAACTCTGTTAAACTGCATTTTGAATAAACGCCAATATTATATTGTTATCGAAATAATCAGATATAATAACAACTTTTGCCGAATCGTTCAGTACATATGTTATTTGTCCCATAAACTGGTTTTGAAATTTTTGGTCATAATTCATCATGGGTATTTATGCTCGCCATCACGCATCACTGTGTGAAGGCTGATCTGGTTCGTGGCTATTGTGTGACAGATGTTTCTCTTAGAGCCGTTTATAGATTTATGGATTTAACTTGAAAAAGTAAAAAAAAATTAATGAGAACCTACAGCACTTTTCGTAATGATGGGACAAATTATTTACAAATTGTGCACAGGAAGATTAATACCCTCTCACTATTCAACTGTAGTGGGCCTACCCCGAAAGTACCCGTATAGTTTTTTGAATTGGTAATAATAACCAAGGTAAATATTATATCAATGGCATGTAGATCAATTACGCGGCTTTGGCGACGTTCTGCAACCTTTGGCGTAATTACGGGGACATTGACGACTCGTGGACCAGCGTAACGAACATTGCCGATTACTTCGCGACGAAACAAGAGTTTTGGGCACAGTACGCTGGACCGGGACACTGGAATGATCCGGACATGGTTTGTATTCTACACGCAGCGTTAGGGACCGATATAAACTAACCTAACCTTCCCCCTCCTCCGATTTGTTGGCTATTTTTCTTTGTGTCCAGCTTGTTATCGGTAACTATGGACTGACGGTCGACCAGAGTAAGTCACAGATGGCTTTGTGGGCTGTGCTAGCCGCCCCGTTGTTCATGTCCAACAAACTGAATGCTATCGGTCCGGAGTTCAAAGAGATCTTACAGAACCGAGACGTGATCGCAGTGAGCCAGGACGCTCTGGGTATGCAGGGCTATCGAGTGTTTAGAGTGCGTATATATTATACATTACACGTTTTAAATATAATTATTTTGTTTAGAAAATTACTAATTTTCTAGACAATTTTTTCGTTTTGAAAATAGTACTGTATTAATTTATTGCCGAACGTAGCCAATTCTGATTTCTCAGCTAATTATCGTGGCTGATAGATCCTTAAAAAAACTGCCATGGTCAAAATATTTATTATTGTGTAACCAAGCTTGCTGTTCAGCTGTAGAGATCGTATTTATTTTTTGAAAATTCACAATATTGGAGGAGAGTGTGATCTCTGTGTGGAATATTCGATTTCGGTCGGGAAAGAAAATTCTTTTCAATAGCGAAAATCGACCCTTAAACTGAATGAATAAATACAAATTAATTTCGTATTGATAGATATGTTCACTCTGTATACAATTTTTACGCTCACACGAAAATAAACCGATTCCGTTTTATCAGGACAGGGGTATTGACATTTGGACCAGACCAGTGGAACCGGTCCGTGGCGGAAGTTATTCTTACGCTGTAGCTTTCGTCAGCCGCCGAGAGGACGGCGCACCTACGCCGTACACAATAACCTTAGAACATTTGGGTTTGAAGCACTACACCGGTTATACGGTTAAGGTAACGATTTCGATATTGCACCATAATGTTCTAGATTTTTAACGTCCCAAAAGAAAACAATTTTCCAAAAACTGTTAAGAGCTGCCTTTCGTTAAAATTAGTATACGTCATATAGTGTCTTGCAGATTGTTCGAATCGATCACGTTTGGTCGTCGTCGTTGCATGGGTTGCAGGGTAGGCATAATATTATTATGTTATTAATTTTTCGATTTTATTGTTACAGAATTTATTCAATAAGCAGCTTGTCAACGGCGCCGAAAACTATTACGTTACGCCAAAGTCTGTAATCAAAGTCCGGGTTAATCCATCTGGTAACACCACAAAATATTATATTGCATTCAAATTGAAAATCTCTGCATTATTAATTTATCGTATAATAATTGAAATATTTGTAAATATGCAGGTACAGTGTTTCTGCGATTCGATGTTAGCATGAGCGTCGTCAACTCTGAAGACAAACTCTACAACGGCACGCTCAAAGATTCAATTGCATTTATATAATTTATTTTATTTGAGTAGATAGGTGGATTGTTAGTTCTTAAATTTTAAACTAGGAAATGATATACAAATATAATGTGTGTAGATACGAATAAAATACATTATAAATTTAAAATACTTACGCCCTACTTACTATATTTTATTGATAATCGATTGTAAAATGAAGTCTAATGTTGCGGGGATAAAATGAAATGAAATAAAAAGGTTGTATCTATGCAAATTCTATTTTAAAATAAATTATCGCTTAAAATGATTGTTATCGAATTCCATTTAGTAACAATTCAACACAATTAATAAACGGGCGCATACTATGAGATATCACAGTTTTTTCTTTCTTGAGTAAAAAAAAAAAACAGGCCGCGCGTACGCGAATTTGACGTCTCTATCTATATATAACGGGTAACAAAGCTAAAATGTGTTTGCTTACTTTCATTAGTGCTAAGGTCTTATTGGTCGTATATAATGATGAATTGTAAGTATCAAGAATTGTAGCTATTCATAAAACCGGAGATAAAACTGATTACAGATTCAGTAATTACAGACATATTCCATTAGGAGGACTTTAATCCAAAATCCTTGGAAACATTTTCAAAAATTAACTATTAAAGTACCTGGAGAAGTATACAATTATACTTGACTGACGATATGGATTTAGAAGAAACTTAGGAAATAAGGATGTCTTAATTGATCTGACTAAATTTTGCATAGCAAAAAAGATAGTAAAATAAATATTTCAATGTCATTCTTAGACTTAGAAAATGAATTTGACTCAATAAGTGGACAATTATTACTATACAAGTTAAAAGAATTAGGTTTTGATATCATTAAATATTAAATCGGCTTATCTACTAATTATTTAATTATAGTTAATATACTAGTTATCCGAGCAGACAACAATTAATTACCATTGGGTCTCACTATATTAGTTATTGTTATGACAAAGATTACGGAGTCACACAAGGTACTTCATTATTTTTAATTTTTATTAACTTAATACCAGCAACAGTATTAAAATGTAGATTATTCATGTTTGTTGTTGATATAGCACTAGTTAATTTCGAGGATAATCGGGAAAAATTAAAACAAAATGACATGTCGAAGGCATGACTTACGGCATATCTTTGATTGGATGGAAAAAATAAATCTGTTGTCACTTAACATAAGTAAATCAGTATGCATGCCAATGGTCCCAAGTTGATCACAGCTTCCAGATGGATATAACTTAACAATACACAAATGTAACATAAATAGGACCAGTTACAACTGTAAACCAATTAAAATAGTATTATCATCCAATACTTAGGGATAACGATAGATTTTGATCTGAAATGGTCAGACCATACACAGAATGTTAAAAACAAAATGAGAAGTTTAACTACTCTAATTTACAAAATTCGTTTTTTAAATAAAACGCTTACAAAACAAGTGTACACGGTATTATGTAATTCAATTCTATTATATGGTACAACATGCTGGGGAGGCACAAACAGAACAGACATAGATATTTATACATTACGTTATCCGAAAAATTATAATAAAAGTAGCTTACTCCCTTCCATCAGCATACCCATCAATCGAGTTATTTAAACATACAAACATATTGTCTATCTATGAATTATACATTAAACAAATTCTTATAAAATCTATACAAAGGCACATACCCAATGGTATAGAAATAATAGACAGGAGAATAGGAAAGTACATAAAACCACATTATACAGCATTTACTCGTTTAAGAAGTTCCCTCTATTGCACGATAAATGTTCCACAATTTGGAAAATGATGTAATGAGTCTAATAAAACTTATGTGTGGAGTTCAGTCTAATAAAACCAATGATGTAATTAATAAAAATCATCAAAAAAAAAAAAAAAATTAGTAAAATAATTAATGACCTTAACGAGAATGTGTGTATCAATTAAATTATAAAAAGTCGAAATGTGTAAATAGAAATAATTAAGGAAACTTTGGTGTTTAATATCGGTAATATAATACAATCAATACTGCTGTATACCAAGAAAATTAAGTAAACTTTTCAACTGTGTAAGAAATTTTATATATTTATCTAGGAATTCGTATACCAGATACGAGCTTAGCTCAGTTAGTATATGTATCAGTTCTTATTATTATTACTATTATTGTATTATAATTGAATTATGATGAATAGATAAAAAAAAAAAAATCTTGATTTGATGCTGAAATAAACACTCGACATTTTACTAAATGCCCATTGAACAGTCTTGTTGAAATTTAAATTTGAGATATTTTCAGAGTATTAAAAAAAAAAAAATAAATAATAATAATAATAATAAATGTTAAAGCGCAAATAAAATCGATTTGAAGAAAGTCCAAAAAGGCTGCTTTTGTTGCTCATTAGACAAACAGACGACAAATACACGGTCAACGTTCTTTTAATATAAAGAATCAATACTGATTGAACTATTCGTTAAAATTTGCCTGTTCTACAAATTATAATGATTCTACTTGTAGCCTTGTATAACTATATAGCAATTTGCAGTTGTGTATACATATTAACATTTTTAAATTAACTTACCTACTAATTTCAGAAAATGAACTAACTAGCAAAAATATCTTTAATTATTTCTTTATGATGGTATTGTTATTTTTTATCATACAATTTCCATAACGTTAATTTATACGGGACAATTGTTGAGGCCACCACGTCACCGTGCCAATATTAGTCTTTGTTCTCGTTTATATTATGTGCACATTTATCGTCACATTTTTTTTTTTTTTTTATCTAAATGAGTTTTAATACCTATACAGAGTGTCCCATGAAGGTATACTCATTGCAATATCTTCTGCGATAATAAAGATAATAAATCAAATTATGTTTTTTATGTTAATTTTTTTGATATATTACATACAGAGATAAGGACTATAAATATTTATATTTTAACTAATATTTTATGTTTTAGTGGTGAAAAAATGATATTTATTTAAAATATTAAAGTATTAGGCTATTAAACAAAGCCCCGTTTCATATCATACATTTTATACCCCTAACATTTAAGAGCACTTGTGTATGATGTAAGTCTAGTTGAATTTTATTGTTTTTATTTTTATTTAATAACAATACCATTCTATCTGTTATTAGGTATAATTATTATATTAAATTATTGGAATATTATTTTCTTATTTTTATCTATGTTCATATTATCTTAATTATGTATCAGTTTTATTATTAGTACTATAATTTCACTAACAAGAGGTTATCCTCAGCGGTGAGTTATATACTCGATATTATTTTTATTATTTTATCGTAATTGTATTTAAATGTATCTACAGATGGCCAACAAATATTATTATTATTATTTTATTATTTTTGAAAAATTTGAAGTTGAAGGCCATTTTATAGGATTTATTTGTCTGAACATTTTGACGTTTCAACTTTTTATTTTCATTAAATTCATGATTTTTTATTGTTTTTTAAAGTTCAGAAAAAAAATGTGTACAGTCAATATCTATAACAATAATAATAATAATAATAATAATAATAATAAT